TCCTTGCACCTACGGCTAAAATGCATTGCAGTGTACTATTTGTTTGGCATCACTGCATTCCGCTGTTAGGGTCAACAACTCCACAGCTCGAATAATCCGCGGGAACCCTGATCCAAATGTCGTGGGGAATAAAGCTTTTCAACTGAAGAACATTCGTGGGTTCTATCCACGACGTATCGCTTCGTATTTCCACCCTCGGCAGGATTCATCTCGGCTCGCGTGGAAGGGCTTAATTTCATGTGACGTCCATCCCATGCGCTCGCTGCATCTTTCCGGCGGTTCGATAGTATGATGCGCACGCCGATCCTCCAGATAGTGGGCCTGCCAGGAAAACGGCGAGGCTCCGATTATCATTCCCCCTATTGTCTAAGCGAGCTATGGCCCGAGCTCTAATGGCGGTGCTAAACGACATCCCTACCCCATACAGACACCATCTTGAAAGCCATTTAGGGGATCCGTCATATTATTCCCCGCACGTTCCACCAGACACCCTAAGTTATTCCAATCCTGGGGCAATGGCCGCATTGTCGATCCTCCAACGCCCAACTGGACATCGCTCCGCTTTGTTAATGGTCCTGATGCGGCATATTTAGGTCAAGAGTTTTATTGAACAGCAGAGAGGAGGGAATTAGTCTGGGGCTAACTCGTCGCTTGTCTACTCCAAAACCCTTATACATCCAGCTGCATGTCAATTCTAAACCCCTATTCCAACAAGTTTATTTCTTAGGTTGGACTGCCGATCCCAGGCCTTGCCTTACTCTCCTATCACAGAGGCCATGTACCTGATTCCGATTTTGGCAATAGGATGTGGCCGGATCGGCATGTTAGCACTCTCGGTTATGCAGCAGCGCTGGCCACGGGCTCATTTCCTGATCTGATAGCGGTACAAAGGACTCCGAGGTCAGCCCATGTGCCTGGCTTGAAGAAATTAGCCCCCAGCCGATGGATGGCTCTTGTTCATCCCTCCGCATTATCAACGCATCCGGTACGCCGGTATCCTGTGGAGAAGAGCTCCAGGTACCACACCTAGATGGGATAATGCGTCACTTGGTCCTGCCCTCAGACCGGTAACTAGTAGGCGTTTTATGCCCACACTGCGGAATAATTTCTCCTTCGCTGACACCTAGGATCCACTAATAAATACCTCAAGGGGAGGGGGTCCACTGACTTGAAGGATACCCTCCGAGACTCGGCTCGGATGTTGTTCATGGGCTTGCCTATATAGACTAACTACTTACTCGCGCCTTTTTTTCACGAGCGAGTGTCGAGCCGTTCTTATTTCACACGCGCCTTTTTTCTCTTCTTCCTTCTTTCTTAGCATTTATATACAATTGCGAATAGCTGCACGAACATCACAACATGACTCCCATTCGCGGGTGGCGCGCTCTGGCGCTGTCCCTGGCAGCTCTTGCCCCGTCAGCATTGGCAGACATCTGCTCAACACTTCAACAGGCAAATATCGATGTCGAGTACCCATTGTCGCTGGACTACAATTACGACCTGACCAAGTACTGGTCTGCCGCATGCAGTGCTCTTCGGCCGACATGCATTGCCGCTCCCTCCAGCGCTGCGGAGATGTCGCATATCATCAGGGAGCTGCACAATGCCGATTCTCTGTTCGCCGTCAAGTCCGGTGGCCACAACCCGAACAATGGGTTCGCCAGTATCGAGAACGGCCTGCTGATTTCCACCAAGAACCTGGATCAGGTGGATTATAACAAGGAGGATCAGACTGCCGTTATTGGACCTGGTCTTTCTTGGGAAGAGGCCCAGGCGGGCCTGGATGGCACTGGTCGGGCTGTTGTTGGAGGCCGGCTTGGGGGCGTGGGTATTGGAGGATATATGCTTGGATGTATGTTGTTTTTCTTGGGTGTTGGTGGTGTATTCCGTCTAACGAAGATCAGGTGGAATGAGCTTCTTGAGCACCCAGTACGGCTGGGCTGCCAACAACGTGATCAACTACGAAGTGGTTCTGGCCAACGGTACTATCGTGAATGCTAACGAAAAGGAGAACGACGGTAAGGAGCCTCGCACGCAGCTTCCTGTGCAAGACACTAACCATTTGTAGATCTCTTCGCTGCTTTGAAGGGAGGCGGCAACAACTTCGGCGTGGTGACCGCGTACACGATGCAGACGCACCCTGTGGGCAAGGTGTGGGGCGGCAACTACGTTTTCACGGCCGACAAGACGCCAGAGATCTTGGCTGCTCTGCGCAACTTTGTGGCCGACTACCCGGATGACAAGGCGGCCATTATCCTGACCAGCGAGCATGGCGCTGTCATCGACCTGTGGATCATGTTCCTCTTCTACGATGGACCTGAACCTCCGGCGGGAGTCTTTGATGAGTTCACGGCCATTGACCATACCTCCACCGCGAAGACGTGGGATAGCTACTACGACTTGCTGAAGAACAATGACTTCTTTATTCTGCAGTATGTACCTAACACCATTCTCAAGGGCGTGACTGACATGCTGCACAGTGGACAACGCTACACCATCGCCACGGAGACGACGCCAGTGCCGGACAACTCTAGCGTGCTGCAGGAGTACTATGACCACTGGTTCAAGGTCACCGAGTCCGTGCTGGACGTGACGGGCGTTCTGGGCTCGATTGCCTTCCAGCCCGTCCCGAAGTCATTCAGCCAGGCGGCCAAGGCAAAGGGCGGCGTAAGACCATCCACTCCTTTCTGACATGAAACACCATTAAGAAAGCAATAACAGGACCTCCTTGACGTCCCAACGGACACGAACTACATTTTCATTGAACTGGACTTCTCGTACGCGCTCTCCGTCGACGACGACACAATCGACCAAGCCAACCAGAACCTCTACGGGGGAATGAACACTATCATACAGAAGAACATCGACAATGGCGTGCTGCCAGATGTGTACCGGCCTCTGTTCATGAATGATGCCTACTACCGCCAGGATTACTGGAGTCGCATCAAGCCGGAGTCGCACCAATCCGCGCTGAAGACGCGCCTGCGCTATGACCCGGATGGATTCTTCCAGACCCGGACCAGTGGTGGATGGAGATTGCCAGCCCACTAATAATGGGATGTTTCTATCTTATAATAGTCTATAATCCGATATTTATAATTGATGGTGACTCAAATGAATGGAAGATATTAATGTCAAGTTCTAGCCAAGTTCTTCGCGATCAGACGTTTCATGTCCAGAAACCCTTTTGTACTAATTGACCTATCGCGGCGCGACGCCTTGAAGATATATTTAAAATCGACAAAGGATCGTCAATCTCTATTATTATAGGACACACAGAAACGGAGAATAAAACCCCAAGCGCCGGGACTGGACCCAGCTGGCAATAAACAAAGGACTTGGGACTAGACCGGGGCTGAAACACGATCTACACTGCAGATTTAGTTACAAGGACGACCAGGGGTAGTTACGCAGCCGCCTGCGTCAGAAATGTAGGCGCCAACACAGCGGGTGGCTCAGAACGGCTCGGAACCCATTAGGGTTCTCCCCCAAGCGCCCGAGTGGATCGGCGCGATCAAGACCCAACAACGAGCTAGGGAGCTTGGGGTTTGCATGGTGCCTGATTTGGAGCTCGTTTATTTATTTATACATCATTTTCTTTATTTGAGAGAGTGAGTAGACATAACCTCATTTGTCCTTGTGTGGCGGCTGCTTTTTAGACATTCTCTGACATGACAGACAAATGCCGGGAGTCTAGGCTTTTGATACTAAATCTGTCTGCCGGCTAGATCGATCTGAATTTCTTTGTCGGAGCGGAGGTATAAAGAGCTGGCTGGACTTCGTTGAAGATAGAATTTTCCTTTCTCAACTCCAATCGCTAGACAGACAAAGACACCCACACTCCCTTTGTTCATATTTCCTTGCATTTACCCAGTCTCTCCTTTATATTCACCGGATTACTCTGAGTCAAGTCGTCTTCAACATCTACATCAATTCTAGATTCATTACACACAATCATTACACGTCTTCATACGAAATGGCCCGTTACGGCTCCTTGGGTGCTACCTTCCAACTCGCGCGCCTCTTCCAGGCATGCTCACTGATCGCCATCATTGGGATGACAGCCAAATTTATTTCATCCATTGTGTCGAGCAACGACACGCCTCCGAACGTGCTGATCGGGACTATCAGCGTGGTATGTCCTCCCTCCCTCCTTCAACACAAATACAAGCACCAATCAACCAATCTAACAAATCTATAAAATGAAAGACCAGCATCGCAGTCCTATACTGCGTCATAACCTCCATCCTTTTCCTAGATGACATCCTCCCCTTCCTCGCCTGCTCTGTCCTCGACCTTTTGTTATTGATCGCCCTCGTCGTCGTGTCGGTGGTACTGGGCAAGCCACTCTCCTACCTCAAGTGCAGCACGCTAGCCAGCCTGAACGACAAGGATGCGACGGCGTATGCGTTCTCGTCGCATCTATCCAGCGAGCTGGCTAGTCTTAGCGGGAAGATCGACTATCAGGCGTGGATTGGAGCGAGTAAGCCGATTTGTTATGAGACAAAGGCTATTTGGGGGTTGAGTATTGCTCTTTGGTGAGTTTCTTTCTTTCTTTTGAATACAGCATTCTGGTGTGACTAGCTAGTTGGGGTTTTACTAATACTGCCAATCAGTGTTCTCTTCCTCTTCTCTGCGCTTTGCAGTGTTTGTCTGTGGAGACAGAAGATTGCTCTTGCGAAGAATTAGTGGGGTTGGTTTTGCAGGTGGGCGCTGCCGAGCAGCGTAGGCACAAGCATAAGCACAAGGAGGGCGGGAAGATAAAATGGGCATGTTGAGGCATTTGGCACATTTGTTCTGAGTACCGTTTTTTTGTTTTAATTATATACGGCAACGAGGGGCATTAATAGTTCTGTATTCGCAATATTGATGATTATTGTATAAGAATCCAAAATGACTAGTTACAAACCATCAGCAAAAGACTCGGATATATAAATCTCAACAAGACTTACTCATCTCCCCCCCTTTGTTTTTTTTAAAAAAAAAAGAAACAGAAACAGTTAACCCGAGCTAACAGGAGGAATAATAGCAACCTCCTGGCGGCCCAGAATAACCATCTCCTTATCAACCTCAACATCAACGTACTCACCCTCCACGCTGACGCCACAGCTTCGGAGGACTTTGTCGTTTATTCCGGGGTAGCGCTCTTCTAGTAGTGGGAATAGAGCAGACAGTGGTAGTGGGGCGGTGAGAGACTCTGTGTTTTTGGAGGTGTATTGGGATGCTGTTGCGAAGTAGTGGATTGTGAATGTTTCTGTCTGTGTCTCTTTCCCATTCCTGGGATCGGGGCCGGTGTTTGGGTTGGAGGGTGTGGACATGTTTGCGAGGTAATGTGAGAGCGAGATGAGATTGGATTGTTTATCTAAATGAACGGAACTGAATTGAAATGAATATAGGAATAGAAGGTGATTGAGGAAGAAGTTGAAGTTGAAGTTCCGTTGGAATTCTCAGAAAAATGCGGGGTCCGGAAAGCTCCGATTTAGATACACCACACCAGTAACCAATCCCTAAGCTATATATGCCAGCCAGCTGCCATCCTGTTCATAAGAAAGAAGGAGAAAAAAAAGACAACCATCTAGCTAGGTATAATGCAACCACACCATACAACACAACATAATCAAGCCAACTATCGGACCGGCAACTCCCGGGACCCCAACTCGCGGAACGCACGACTCAGATCCGCCTTGAGATCCTCCCAATTCTCCAAACCGATACTAACACGCAATAGACGGCGATCGACCGTCGTATCCGACATAGTGCGCCACTCAATCAGGGACTCCACGCCACCGAGCGAAGTAGCATGCTGGAAGAAATGCAATTTACTCGGCAGGTGGCGCGCGGAGACCTCCTCTTTCATCTGGATGGAGAAGACGGGACCGAAGCCATTGGGCATTTGGTTCTTGAGCCAGTCACCCTCGACCTGCTGCAGACTTGCGTGGAAGACTTCGCCCAGCACGGCTTGCACGGCAGCTTCTTCGCTGCCCGGTGCAGGGTTGGGGGCTCGCAGGGCCGTGTCCAGCCAGGAGACGAGACGGGCTGCGTTGTCGCTTTGGCGCTGGACGCGGATTTCGAGGGTGCGGAGACTGCGGACGCCGAGCCAGCTCTCCATGTTACCCATTACGCTGCCGATGAAGAGCCTGTCTTGGTGGAGTTGTTTGGCCCAGTCGTCGCGCTGGGTGACGAGCACGCCGCACAGAACGTCGCTGTGCCCGCCGAAGTATTTCGATCCAGAATGCATGACCAGATCAGTGCCATGTTTGAACGGATCCTGGAGACCCGGCGGTGCAAAGGTGCTGTCGACGATCAGGTAGGCGCCGCGGGAATGTGCCTTCTCTGCGTAGGCGGCGATGTTGAAGGCGATGCCTTTGGGGTTGACAGGTGTCTCAAGGAGTATGACGTCGCCGGCTTCCAATTGTTCCGCAGGACAGTCCAGATCGAGTTTCTTCAGTCCGGTCAGACGAGTGAACAAGCCGATCACACCGTGGCAGCCATGGTAGCCATCACCCATGGCAATGCGGCGTGGGTTGAGCAGAGTCAACGCGGCGTGCAGAGCAGAGAGACCGGATGAGTAGCTGAGGGCTTTGCCATTGCAGAGAGAGGAGAGGATAGTTTCGAAACGAGTGAAATTGGGTGCGGTGAACCGGGAGTAAATGTGAGAGGTAGGCTTGGGGGATTCGAACTGCATTTGTTTTCGCCATTAGAAAGGGGAGCCAGAGAGCAAGACAGGACATCAATACATACGCTGGCAGCATCTGCAGCCGGCATCAAATCCTCCGGATTGTCAGAGTAGCGGAAGGTGGTGGACAGGTGCAACGGAGGAGCGACATCGGTGACGACGTTCAGCACATCGTCGGCGTGGAGCGAGCGCGTGGCCGCGCCAAAGGCCTCGCTAGAATGCGACATGGTAGAAGAATGGATAGCGCTATGTAGGAAGGGGTTTGATTGTTGTATGCACAGGGAAAGAGTCGGAGTAGGAGTTAGTAGTTATTAATACAGGCGATGAATCCTGAGGGGTCTGGCGGGGGGATGGACCCGCTCACGTGATGCAGAAAATCACGTTATCAGCGCCGCAGGGAACCCATGCGGGAAGCCTCACGCACGGAGCCCGGTAGGGCATCTATGAAGCGGCCGCGGTCTGAACAGTCGGTTAGCAAAAGGGTTCGTTCGGTGTATGCCAGATTGAAAACTCACCAGTCTCTGAATCGAACGCAATGGTTATATCGTCATGTTCGATTGGATACTCGGGCATGTCCAGACACACAAAGTCGGATGCCGGATCAGGGTCCGTCTTGGGCAGCGCAAATTTGCAATCGACAATGCGGATGCCGAATTTGCCGGACCGAGAGAATGACTCCATCAGGTCGGTGCCCTTGAGCACAAAATTCATGCACGTCCCGTGCTGGAAATCCGAGAAGAAGGCCAGCATCTGTGTAAGATTCTCCTGCTGGACGATCTGAACGCGAGTCAGATTGGCTTCCCATTTCTTGTAGATCGGCACCATGCTGCGGCGGCGCGATATAATGAAGGAGCATGCGATCCTGATCCGTCAGCGCCAAGAGTTGAAAGGGCTAACCATCAACACTTACCCATCGTAAAGGACCTGGAAGCCAGTCACGGCGGCTTCGAATGCATGGAGATCTGAACAAAATTAGCAATGAAATGACACCCAACCCAAAGAAACTTACCCTTCACCGAGCCAAAGTCAAAGCGGCGGATCATGGGTTTCGCAGTGAGCTTCTCCAGGAACGCCGACAACTGATCTGGCAGTTCGGGGCGAATCAGGTTGTCGGCCAGCGACAGAGTCAGATCTTGCTGCGCGGGCCGAAACAGGCTCAAGCTGGTTTTTCGAGAGACATCCAGGCTCATCTTCAATTCACCAGGCCCTGGGAATTGCGTTAGCACAACACAAGAAAAGAAATGAAGATAATCCAACCTAGATTGATACGGTCGGTAACCGACCCCCATTCGGTAGCAACAAAGGCTCTCAAATGCTCCGAGAGAATCGTAGGCCCATATCCATGCTCTACAAAGCCGTGCTGCTGGTCGATCACAAACACATTGCCGGCAGGAAACTTGAGGTAAGTGACTGGCGGCAAACCGGTAGCTTTATCCCCAGGCTGTTCGATTGAATATCCCCGGGTGAGGATCTCCGATGTCTTGGTTTCCCCATCTCGAGGGGACATGCCAAGTAGCAAAGAGTGCATCCGGGTGCGCTCTTCCACCTCATGGAATGTCATCAACATGGATCGCATGCGTCCATCCTCGGTAACCTTAAGCAGCAGAGCCGGGGCTCCATTCTCGCCCCTCAAAAGACCAAACACAATAGGCATGCCATTCCCCAGAATGTGACGCACGCAACTCAGCGTCTTCACTTTGGGGCTTGTTAACACAACAAGCCGGAAGCCCTGGTGCACATTGCGCGTTCCCGTGCCCTCAGTTACTCTCATCGACCGCTCAAACAACCGCATTCGACACCGCTCTAATGGGTCCGAGGGAAAGGCCTTGGGCGTGCCTGGATCCATGTAATGGAAGACCTTGAGAGTACTTTCAAACACCAGACTCTCGCCGGGTTCCGGTTGGAGACTGGCTTCTGACTTGCGGGTATATTTGACAATGTTCCACAACGTCTTGAAATCATCCTCCTTGAACATCACATCCAGCTCGAATCCTCGCGGGAGTTTGACCCGCATGGTATGCGCCCGCACTTGCCAGTCCACGTCATCCCATGTAGGTCCTTGTTTGCGATCGGATTGAATCATGATATTGACGAGTTGACTCTGGCTCGTGATGGCAGCGTGCACATACCAATCTGACCGCTCTCGAATGATGGTCAATGCGCAGGGCATGGCGTATTGCTGGCCTTCATCGTCGGTGGAGCTGATGCACACCTGCACAAACATACTACCATAACTAAAAAACCGGTTCGTGTCCCCCATCGGCATCATGTGGATCATATTAGGTGCCTTGCCTGAGTGGTCCACCAACATCGATCTTGATACAGAACCAGACAGCACCACGGAAACATCGGGTGCAAAGAACGGGTATCGCAGCCACACAGTAGTATCTAATTGGTGGGTCGAGTCGGCGTCCGACATGATAATTGAAAGAATGTTGTTGCGTTTGATGGACATGGACAGCGACCGGAGATGGCTGATGCAGGTCTGATGTAAACTGAGGAGATCGGCCATGTCCTGGTCCCCTGTGGTGCTGACCACCGCCATAAGCGCGTCCATACTCATCGAACCGTATCGGGCGAGTTCATAATGTGTCGGCAGGATATTCTCGTTAATCCACAATGCTTTCCCAAGGTCCACCACGGCTTGCTTAGCGTAACTCGGAGGGCAGTTTGATCGAGTGCGGGCATATGTTTCAAGTCGTGTTTTGCCTCGCAAGAACCACCACACCGCCGCGCGAACCCATTCTGCCAAAGATGTTTCCATCAACGGCTTGACGCTCTCAGCAGCCAGCCGGAGAAGACTGTCATAGTGAGACATGTACTCCTTGAACTCGGTAAATGCCACGTCGCCCAACTGATTGGCAGCTCCTTTCAAGGTATACTTGGGAGGCTGAGGACTGCGTGACGGCTCTCGGTTGTCTCGGCTGGATAGCTGAGGTATTTGGGGCTGTTCATGAGTCGGCACCTTCGGAGGAGGCGAGGTGTGTATCTCAGGAGGGCTTCCAGCCGTGGCATGAGGCGGTGGTCGTGGGTCAGTCGGGCTGAAATTGGCCAGCTGGCGGTGAACCGCGGGAGTAGAAGGATGGCGAATGGATTGAATGACCGATTTGACAGATGGAGCGCCAGCTTTTGCCCCTGCCGTTGAGACTGGGGGTGTTTCGTAGATTGACTCGGGACTGCTCGAGGGCAGTTCCGGGGGCAGTTCAGGACTGGGATAATCAGAATCGTCATCATCGTCGTCCGGGATGTCTTCATCATCAAAACGGTGTTGCAGCGCGAGGCCTTCCTCGGCTTGCATTTTGTCCCGTACCCGCTCTGCGAAGGAATGTGAGTCCCCGCGGAAAGACAAGCGCGAACCCGAATCGCTCCCGGACAGCGTGTTGAGGAACTCCGCGTCATGAGGATCGTGCATCAATGGCGGTTTCCAGTCCGGGATATTTGCCCCGTCGCCCTGGCCCTTGGAGTAGGCTTTATATTGAGATTTGGCTTCACCATCGCCCAGCGAGGTGTTGACACGAAGATTCGGTACATTACCCCGCGATGGGGACGGCTCCTGTGAGAGGGCCACATTGCCCGGACTCAAAGCACCTCGACTGCGGGAACGTTGCCGAGACCTGGAGATCTCTATTGTTGGCGCTTCTGCCTCATCGCCTCCCTCGCCAATCACATCGGGGGTTTGATTCGAGAAACCCACCCGGAGTCCCTTGCGGCCGCGGGGTTTGCGAGGCGGGGGTTCATCCGAGAAGTTGAAACTCGCGTAGTTCTCGTTGACTGGGGGGACAATCGGCGGTGGAGGCACGCGTGAGACGTCCTGTGCGGAGGGAATACGGTGGGCTGTTGTGAAGTTCGGCGGCGGAGGAAGGCCGCTGGGATCGAGGTTGGAGGGTGGAAGGGCGTCTGGGTTGGGACGTGTCGAGCCTAGGAAGGCTTCAATCTGCTGGTCAGGTGTTGAACGGTTCTTGTCCTTGTTGAACAGCTTGTCCTTCCAAAGCGACTTCTTAGCGGGTTTGCGCTGTCCCTGCTCGGCAGCAATAAAAGCAAACGGGTCATCGGCAGGCATGTCGACAGGTAATGGGATCCAGAGGCCAGGCAAGTTCTGTGAACATCGCACGCCCGGCGCCCAAGTCACGAATGAGGAAGCCAGTCCTTATCGGCCGCCGCGTGGAGTCCCCCTCCCCGGAGTGGGCGGTGATAATCTATCGCTCAAGATGCGCCTCCGATCGACAGGGGCTGGCGAGGGCGATAGGTGATGGAGGTGCCAGACCAAACGGGATCACAGAGTGGGGGGGAGGGTAAGGGGGGAGGGGAGGGATAAAAGACGTGGGTTGGGCGAAAGAGGGAGATTATTGTGTGGGTGGAATTGGCAAGCCCGCACGGCAGGGGAGAGAGGAGGGGTGTTGGCGATCGCAGCGCCCGTGCATGCGCTGGTGTTGTTGTTGGGAAGGGAGAAGGAGGAAGAGGAGGAAGAAGAGGTGATGTCAAAGGGAATAATGGTTCGAACAGAGGAGGAGATGAATGGTTCCTCAGGCAGCGAGGAAGATCCCTAACGAAGCTGGACCAGCAGTGAGACCTGGGGGAGGTGGATCAAGGGAGGAATGAGAGTGACTCCGCAGGTACCACGCCAGGCGTGGTGGAGAGGGGCACGAGCAGGTCACTCTGAAGTCACTCTGACTACTATACTCGACTACATCCAATTGAATATTTCTTTATCGTTATTGTGCTAGTTAGTCGTTACTATTTAGTAGAAGCACGAGGCGAGATATCATAAAATCCAGGCGTCTCAGCATGAAACACAACTAGTCCCAGCTGGGCTGGGAGTGGACCACACTGCGGCAGCTGCCACTGACGAACTGATTGCATTCAACTGCCCGGCTTGCCCCTTTTGTCCTTCCCGCACGGCATTGGGATGCAGGCAATAGACATCCTTGCTGCGGGTGTTGTTCTGAGTTGCCAATTGAATGCATGCACAGGTATATCGACTGCTGGATCATGTCCCCGAAATTTAAACTTGAACAGATAAACATGTTCGTTCCTGGGACGACAGTCCAAGGTTCAGGTGGACCTTAAAGTTGCACCACCATCAGCGGATAATGAGCTCCGCCAGGAAGAGAATAGGCAAAATCTCCGATCATCGTCTCTCCTTACGTCGACGCAAGTACTCGTGCCATCCTGACAGGCAGCATCCCTGTAGTAAGCACCTTAGTAAACGGAGTAACCCGGATCGCCCTAGACAGGGTATTCACCAAAGATCGACACTGATCGCGGTTGATCGTCATAAACTACCATTGCTTATATCGAGTTTCTACTATATACGCGGTCAGGAAAAGAAGTAGTAAGTATGGCGCCCTGACCATATTCTGATTTCTTTTATTTCCATCTAGTAGCAGCTTTGGAGAGCTAAGCTGATTCTAATCAAATAACATTGACACTATCAAGGAGGCCAAGCGCAACTTGTCAAATGAGAAGCCTTATTAGTGAGATGGCAGTTGAAAGTGCGGAGAGATTGTCGTTCACACGGCTTCCCTCAGGACGGCTGATTTATTTCCATGATGGCTGTTAGGGGCAGGATATTTGGTCGGACTTTGGCCCCTCCTTCCGATGTGCCAAAATATGCCATCACCAGTCACAACTCACTTCACAACTGCCCTCATATAGGCTTTGGCAATCTGTGCATAAAGCGGATATGACATGACTAAGATTGGGCAACTTCTAACGAAGCTATGTAGTTATCCCAAAAGTTGGAAACCAAGCCGCTCCTTGATTATTGCACGAGCCTTATTTGCCGCGTTTCTCTGCCAGCCTAATGAAACAGGAGATGTTGCGATAGTCCTTAAGGATCCGTAAATCATGACTGCGTCTGCCCATCCGAGATTGAAATTGTTACCAATCCCTTGTGGCATGTCCTGCGCATGTAAAATCTTCGTAGCTGTGGCGCGAAAAGCTGCAATGCAGTGTTCTTGCATCGCGGTGGAATGAATGTGCTGCTGAGGTGAACACCCTTCTTCGTAGACACGCTGTAGAAAGCTTAAAACGCTAGCCGAGAGATGCATTTGGAAATTTCCTTGATATGCATGCACCCCGATAGACGATATGGAGTGCTGAGCTGAATCAGATGAAGAACTCCAAATTTTCTCCGTCTCGTCCATCTGTTGCAATATGGACGAGTAAGTGGCCAGCACCAAGTCCGAATTTCCGACTAACACCTTTTGGATCTGACTACAAAGGCGGGTGCAGTAGTAGGCGAAAGTACATGCTTGAATCATGATATACTCGGATGGCTTCAAATACTGGCAGAGTTTGTAGATCCAGCTCAGCACTTCTAGAGGAGACTCCCGGCCGGCGATAAGTGCTTTGGCTTGCTAGTGTAGTTGGTCAGAAACGCCTACAACATAAACTTCGGGGTCAGGAGTTCCTACCGTGCAATAACAGACAAACCAGACGAGATTCCGTCCATCCTGGCTGGTAAATTGCTCCGGATCCCGGAGGTCAATCAAAGAAGCCATGCCTCGACAGTGGCGGTCTCCCTCCTCTGATCCTGCAATAGATGTGAGATGAGGATTCGATAAGAACTTTGGGTCCGTCAGTCCTCTTAGTCTATAATTTCACATGATGAATCACTATTACCTCGTACACCACAAACATCCAAATTGCAAACAATGTGCTGTCATTCTTGTATTGAGCAGGATCACCTAGAGCCAGATTGACGGCCTTGAGTGCGGTCCCATACGCCCGGGTCCTGTTGGCAATTGCATCTGCCGACCCGGTCGTACTCGCTAAATATGCACATGCAATGGCATCACAGACCGCATAGACCGGAGATCCCTTTCGCGTGCTGGATATGATGCGTGGAATGGTAGCGAACAGGCTGCTGTCTACGCTAGTATCCACAACCTTGACCGAGAACTTGCCTAGGACCAAAGGAATCACATGGTCGCTCCACACCTGGGAGGGCTCGTATATTATCTGGACAGATGGTATGTCGCCGTCTTTGGCAGAGTCCGCTTTGACCATTGAGGCGTCGTGATAGCGCATTTTCCGACGAACACTTGGTTGGAACGACGAACTGTTGGCAATACGGAAGCGCATGCTGACCTCATCTCGATAGCCTGAACAAGATTGTCCTACTCGTAGACATTGACTACAGGACGGACGCGCAAGATCACACTGGAACTAGGTTGATAAGTGGACCTAATGCTTATCCCAAGACTACCGTACCTTGATGCGTCGCTGTCGACAAGAATAACAATTTCGGCTATATCGACCGGTATTCGGCATTTTCTTGATGTTTGACCTCAATCAATTCCCCGAAAGTGGTGTGTTAAACAGCTCTGGAGGGGTCGAAATCATGGGCGAGTCAGCCCGGTTCAGCTTTGGCCGGTTTGGGGAACCGATTCGCCCAGCCAATAGCAGCTGCAGCCACGATCATCAGCCAGCATAACCGCTCGCTCATGGATTATATGTATAAATACCACGTAGTATCTGTCCAGGTGCTCCAGGTCTCTTTTTCCAGTACGCGTTCTTGCAATCATAAATTTATCTCAGCCCTTAATATGGCAACTTTACCAGTCATTGCCTGCGGCGGCAGCAACCCACAGGTTTTCAACGCTGTCAAACCTCTCTACTTACCCGAGTACGAAAGTAAGAAAGGAAATACGACCAGTCTGGCTTGTTTAAGGCTAACATCGTCCGTAGTTATACACAATGTCATCAGCAGTGCCTCCGGCGCAGTCGAAATACCGCTCATGCTGCAAGGACAGGCCCCTCCTATTGGAGAAGAGCCCAACCGCGGCACTATGGACTATTCCAAACCGCCCGTGGCGGTGTTTGTAGGAGCGTTGTACGGTGATGCGGAATTTGACGAGATGCGTCAGGCGTGCCGCGGGCTTAGTTCGGTACCTTGGTTGAGGATGGATATGGCTGTGCCTAAACCGCCGCTGGGACCGGGGTATGCGGAGCATGTCGTGCAGCGGATCAAGGCGTGTATGAAGAATATTGAGGCAGAGGGAAAGCTGGAACAAGATGGCGTGTGGTTCTATTGACAACAGTTGGTATCATGTGATTAGGGTTTGAAAGAGGATCTTTAGGTACTAGGTATGTTTTCGACATGGAAGACAATAATGGTCATCACTGTAGGCATGCCTATCCGTATCATATACACCAAGAGAGAACATGGAGGTCATGCATGATACATATTATGGAACGAAAGAACTCAAACCAAATCCATTTTCAAGGAATAACACATACGATGCCCAACCCAACCATCGCTCTCTCAGGCCACCGCATTCTAACCACCACCCCCCGAATAACACAAAGTACGAAGAGGGGATTAGTTGACAATTTGCCATTGAAGTACGGGACGAAAGATGGACAGGGGTTCCATCTCCATGGAAGTTTGAATCCCACCAATGCGCTAAAATATGCTCGTATTGTCGCAGCATTGGGTTGAATTGAGCGATTCCGAGGCGATCAAGCATTTCTACGGACAAGCCGAGAAGCAGCATACTGTGTCGTGGCTGGACATCGAGGCGATGGTTTCGGGCGCCAACCCGGCACAATCTGCTACACGAAAGATCAGTTCCGAGAACAAATCCCGCATGAGCGCGAGTCGTGAAATGAGCCTCTTTACAGCCTCGAGAATACAAGCGACACTCATTTCCCACCTGTATCCTGGCCGGCTGGGCCAGACGCTAAAAACCGGCCCCTGGTTGGGATCCGAGTGTTGGATCTGATGCGTGTCATCGCTGGACCGACGATCTCGAAGATATTGGCACTGTTCGGCGCGGACATCTTGTGTGCGTCATCGCAGAATAACCCAACCCGACGATATTCTATGTGGCTTTGAGCATGGGTCGTGTCGGCCGGTAGTGATGTCGCTGAGTGGTAGACAGTGTGTACATGTATCTGTGATGTGCAGCAGGATCCCAATAATAACTGAATCATCGCCAGTGCCGACCATGATGCAACTAAGACACCACGAGTAGGACTTGTTCTTCGTTGCTATTTCCGGTGCAGATGTGGCTGATCCGCTATTTTTCTCCACTTGGGCCAGACCAAACAAGGCGCAGCAAAGCAAAACATCTCACTCACTCACTCAGCTCACCACTTTCTCTACTCCCAACCAACCTTGCTTGTCCTCCCTCCCTCTCTCCTTATTTTCCTTTCTTCATGTACTATTACACCTGACTGACTAGCTCCTCCCGGCTGGCCAACCGTGTGCTGCTCTCCACTGTTGCCCTTCCTCCACCCCCCCTCAACCAGACTAGGCACCCGGCCAAACCTCGAATCTCGCTCCCTCACCCTGGCCGTGCTTCCCCCCGACCTTGACCCCGGCACTTCCACATTGTCAACACAACGTGGATCAGACTGCTCATCCCGGGGGTTGACCTCCCCAAGGAGGTCATCCCGGATGCCCGAAGCGGCCATGTGTGACGACCCGTCATGCCCCCAACCGGAGGCCTCAACGGCCTCCGGTCTTCCCCAGGATTTGTGTCTGGCTCGACGCGGTGGAACCTCTAGCGTTCAAGGTCGACGATGGCGCGACACCTCGAAGCGGCGGCGGCCGTTTTGGGTTCCCCTCGTGCTGCTGTGCTGGATCTCGTGGGTATCGCCCGCAACGGCTGTGCTGCTGAATTTCGACAACTGCTTGGACAAGGCCCGTCTGGACTCGGATCCACGGCTGCTCCAATTTGTGCCTCTAGATGTCTCCGTCACATTCAACCTGACGGACCCGCTCCGCCCACTGAACGTGACGGTCTACGGCAACGTGTCTGGCACCGTCGACGGACGCGCAGACTATCCACCGGCGGATGATCCGCAGTGGAACAACCCCAACATTACTGTGGGCAAGATCGAAGACCTGAGCGACTCGAACAACAAGTATTCGACCCTGATGACCGCGTTCGATGTGCTCAACTTTGCCCCCTATCACGAGCCCCTACGCTTCTGCACCCAGCTCGGCCAAGGCGAGTGTCCCTTGGGACCGGTGTTTGGTGTCAACGCGTAAGTATCCCCCCCTATTTGTTCGTGCTTTCTCTAACTAAATTTCTGTCACAGAAGTGATTTGAACCAACTGCACTCCTTCTCCGTCCAGCATGACATGCTCTCCTCCTACCGATTCTCGACCATCTCGCCCAATTTTGTCCTCCTATCTGGCGATGTCTCCGCCGCTGAACTGGGCTGTATCTCCGTGTCCATCACACCCGACCTCGGTTCCTCCCTCAAAAATGCTCTGGCCTATGTGCCACTCGTCATTCTGGTGTTGGTGGGGATCGCGACAATCACAGCTGCCATGTACAGTCCCTGGGGCACAACGGATCCGTTTCGATGGACGAGCAACTATGGTCGCGACGAAGATATTCTGCGACTGGTCACTCCCGGCTTTGCTGATTGCCTGCAGTACATTCAGTATGTGGTGTTGACGGGTGCTCTATCATTGAATTACCCAGGCTTTTACCAGCCAACGGTGAGCCAGGCGGCTTGGTCGTCTCTCATATTCAATCAGAGCTTCGCCAACCCAGGCAGCGGCTATAACCCGGTTGTGGACGGCGTCTATGCGATTAATGGGACCTATGGCTTGGATCGGTTCAACCAACTGGTGGGAATGGCTACCACGCACGATATCTGGCCAGGTATGATCATATGGCTGCTGGTAATTTTGGTCAGCGTCACGCTGCTTGTCCAGGCTGGCTTTGTGTTGCGTTGGGTTCACCGCGAGTTGGCGCATATTCCCGAGCAAGACTTGCGCGCCAAGAACGTACCATTTACTATTGGCAACATCATCCGCATCGTATTCAACTACTTGCTCCTTCCGGTTGTCTCGCTATCCTTCTTCCAGTTTGTTATCGCAGGCAGTTCACCCGCCTACACAACTGCTTTGGCTGCAGTGGTGATTCTCATCTTAATCGGCTTTTCAATCTGGGCTATCCGTGTGATTGTTAGTACCCGACCGCGGTCTCATCTGTTCGATGATCTTCCAACGGTTCTCCTATACGGTCCGCTTTATAATACATTCTGCGATGACGCGGCGGCTTTTGCCATGGTACCATTGTTTTTGACATTTGCTCGAGGTGTCGCTATTGGGGCTTTGCAGCCATCGGGCATTGCTCAAATTGTGTTGCTCGCCATCTGTGAAGTTGTCTCGGTGCTCACGCTCGTGGCTTTCCGACCCTTCCCCGGGCCGACCCTCATGAATCTGTATCACTGCTGCTTTTCCATCATCCGGTTCTTGACCGTCTTGCTGAGTGTGGTGTTTGTTCCGTCTTTAGCGGTCTCCGAGGCCGCACGAGGCTGGATTGGTTACGTGATTCTTGTTCTGCATGCACTGGTGCTTATCTTTGGGTTCTTCCTCAACGCTCTACAGACCTTTATCGAGGTCATTGCGCGGCTTGCCGGTGCCGGTGGTGCTACTCGTGGCGGTTTGGTCAAGGTCTTTGGAATGCGCCAGCTCTCGAGGCGTGCTCCTCAGCGCGGTATCCAGCGCGATATTACTCGACAAAGTCTCGGATCTGAAGCCGCGATGCTCACCCATGGTGACGATCGCATGTCATCTCAATTTGATGGTTCTCGCCCTCGTAGCCTGTCAGGCAACTCGGCTCTTCTCCTTAGCCGTGCCAGTGATGGCCGCGCAAGCCAGCTGCTTGACTACGCGAGTTCCCACGGCGGTACTCACAGCCGTACTGCGAGCAGCGGACTCTACACGCCTACGACACTCGGTGGACACACTTCCTACGGCGGAGCTGAATCTCCTGTGATTGGCATGCAGCCCCGTGATCCGTACTATCGACCTCCACGGCCAGGACGGAGAACGCCCCAGCCCAGCTCTCTTGATGGGGGTCGGGCACCGAAGACTATAATGAAGCCCAGCCGTGCTATGGATACGGAAGACGATCTAGGAGATGGCCCACCGGCCTCTGGCCGGGCGACTCCTACACCGGCCTACATTCCAGCACCCAAGGAAGACATGGAACTTGAAGACCCTCGCAAGCAAAAAGATTATGCCGTCCGAGAAGTCGATTTTTATTACCGTGTCCGCGGCCCGCCCCTCTCGCACATGGGCACTCGTAAACTGAAGACGGGCCCAGCAGACCCGACAGGCCCAGTTTCTTCCGCAACAGGGTGGTTCCGGAACTTCTTCCAGGGAAAGACCAAGGAGAAAGGCAAGGGATTCGAGGTGGTGCGGAGCGCAAGGGCGCCCCCGCCTGGTTTGTTTGACGGGGAGTTCAATGAAGAACCGTACCAAGACGACCCCGAGGATGGAGGTCATTCTCGCCACGTCTCCACCGCCTATAGCCCGTACCAGGACTCTGATGGTGACCACTACAACCGGCAATCGAGCGACCGTCCTCCTGTTCTACCGCAAGTCGATTCCGTTGGCAGCATCGAGCTTCCAAGCCGGATGGGATCCCGTCGCACCGTTCAGGAGTCACTAGCAGAAGAGACCGAAGAATCACCTCAGACTCTACCTGCCGTCATCGAAATACCAGCCTCCCCCGGGTCCCAACGAACTGGGACTATCTCACCCTCTGAACACCTGCAGCCGGAGTCCCCCACCACCGCGAAAATGCCGTTCAGCGGAAGCAGCTCCCCCTCCCGTGAACGCAATCCCTCCGTCGCATCTACAACTCGATCTGCCACCTCTAGCAGCCGCAGGAGCCACAAAAATGTGCAAGAAGATGGCCGCTCTGACCGACCTTCGAGCATGGGGTATGTGCCCCACTATCGCATGAGTGATAACATCACCCAAGCGAGTCCGGATGAGCCCTCCTTCACTGGCAGTGCTGCAGAGCTAGTCGACGAGCCATTACACGCCGAGCATTGATTTTTGGATTCTCTTGCATCAAGCAGAACATTGCATGTCTCACATAATCATCTACTCTCATCGTCTTCTCCCTACCTAGCTATCTTCTTCCACCCTTCTCCACCTTCCTACTTCTTCTGTTGTATTGGACTGAACTGGGATTGGATTGGGTTGGATACACCAGATGCCACGATAACGAATCTCCTTACTTTCTGTCCTTTCTGTTTGTGTTGTTTCTACTCTCTGTGTGAGTGAGTGAGTGAGTGAGTGATGTGTGTGTGTGTGTGTGTGTGTGTGTGTGTGTGTGTGTGTGTGTTTACCACATCTGAAAAAATTGCTGCGAGGTCTTTTTCTTACTTTCCTCGCTCGCCCTGTTTTAATTTTTAACGACTTGACCGCGAAGTACACATTAATGCGTCAATCTGCTTTCTCCATCATCCACTTCAACTTGAGCTAATTCAATGTATCTACATAAGTACTTACTCAACGCCCTCTTGAGTCATGGCCAGTTTTTTCTTTGTTGGCTTTTCTTAACTATGATGAGAAAGAGGCTTTTGTTGGTGGCTTCTTCCTTTTCCCCCGGATGAATACTTGCTCGTGCTCCATATCCGAGTTGGCCACCCAACCCCAACACAACACCAGGTGTTTTCAGTCCTGGTGCTGCTTTTAGTACTTCTCTAAATGAATATTCTTTCGTACATCTCGATATCTCGACAACCAGTTACAGGTTGTTTTTATTGAGTCGTGCGAGTAGACAGGAGTATTATGCGAGTAGACGGTCCCTTTATATAATTCTTGAAGACATTGATTTATCTGAACCTCTCTTCAGCATGCCAGCCCGATTTATATCAATTCTCTGCATCAATTGGCTGGCTGCTTTACTAGAATAACCAGAATTGGGTTCTTCATACATCCAATTCGGATAGCTTGTTGGTAGATAAGCCGCTGGGACAACCGCCCATATCATACTTATTATCGATCCACAGTAGTAGACAGTAAGCACGTGAGCCTCATTTCTGCTGATCGCCACCGCCCAGAGGCCCCACCGATAAGTGTCGGACCCAAACAAGTCAGGAACTCACTCTCCCTGCATCATCACCATCTACTCTTTCACCCATCCTGATTTCCTTTTCCTGATCCTCATCCATACCTGCCTATTCATACCGTTCCACACCACCGTCGACGCGTTTCCCCTAGCGTTCGTGCTTCTCACAGAGTCACACGACCCCCGGAACACACCCTAGGCTGGATCCGCCTTGGCTTTATGATAAGCATCATCCTCACAATCATCAACGCACTGGTTGCCTGTAAACGGCGCTGCTCCCACTGAGAGTGCCTCACAATCTTGTGCAAGCCATTTCATAACCGGAACAGTTCATCAAACCATTTCTCGCATCCTTTTTTGATCGCGTGTCGCCACCCAGCCCATGAGGGCTTGCCATTCCGTTGGCCGAGAGTGCTCTCGTTGCCTTTAGTCAACTGAATCAAAACTGGTATTCAGAGTCGTCATCATGTCTTCCACGGATAGTACAGCATCGTCACCCTCGAGTTCGTCCGTCGCTAGCGGGTCGGCTGCACAAAGTTCCACCGTCGCGGATAACATGAGACGCGCGGAGGCGGTTGCTGCAGCAGACTCCAGCCTTGCAAGTGGTAACTCCGGGGAAAACAGAATGGCCGTTCATCCTGCAGACCGAAAGAGGCGGTTGACAAGCACTGGCGAGGATGTTAGATTACAACGAACGAGGTCTGGCAGTGCGGCGGGACCTTCGACAACCAGGACAGTACTTCCCAACAGGTCTGCCTCACTGGTTCTGCCAGTATCACGGTCAAGACCTTCTGGTTTTGCGGCACCGGGGTCGTCATATGCCACGGCTATTGATATCTCTTCGTCGCCTCCAGCGCCGCCTTCTGGGCTGGACAATAGTGGACGTGGCTCTCGTTGGATGCAGGCTTCGTTACACGACAACTCTCCTCCACGACCAAGCAGACACTCCTCTTATGCCTCGTCACATCGTAATGAAGACGAAGGATACATGGAATTCACGCGACCTCAATGGCAGCCTGATGCCGAGGCGACGAGCTGCCCAATTTGCGCGACGGTGTTCAGTTTTTGGTACAGAAAGCACCATTGCCGGAAGTGTGGAAGGGTGGTGTGTGCTTCATGCTCCCCCCATCGAATCACTATTCCTAGGCAGTACATCGTTCGCCCTCCCGAGTCTCTTTCCTCTTCCACCCATCTTCCTGCACCCTCACCCACAGCAACGCCTTCACGTTCCCCACAGATCTTTGATCCTATTGGAGAAGATCTCACCTCATTTCTTTCCACTGTCAACCCTGCTCTCGGAGGTGGTGAAGAAGTTCGTCTCTGCAATCCTTGCGTCCCAGATCCAAATCCGAACCCTCCTCAACCCTACAGCACCGTACGTCCATATGGTCATCGATCTACTCAGTCTCTCTCGTCTTCCGACATGGGAAACGTATTCTCCAGATCACAGGTTAGTCGTTTTGTCTTTTTACGACTTTCTTCTGAGTTCGTCCGTTAACTTGACTTACGCATTTACAGCGTGCGCAAGGCGATCCTCGTCAATCCCGGCGTACTGTTGGTGATCATGACCGACCACACTATTTGCGGGATTGGAGTCACCGTATGAGTGATCATGCCAGAGAGGCGGTTCACGATACGTACCCCGACGTCCTTGTCCAGGGACGCGAGATGCGACGTGCACGCCGCGCCAGCCAAGCCACTGCTGCCCCCGAAGCCCAGCAGAACCTGGAGCTGACCACCCACGACGACGGCCAAGGATCCCTCGTTACGATACTAGCGCCTCGCGCCCGACGCCGGTCTGCTGTTTCTGAGCGCGACCTCTGCCCCGTGTGCGGTCAGCGATTCCTATCGTTAACCGAAGAGAACCCCATAGAGGTCCGCGAAGCCCACATCCGCGAATGCATCGACAACCACGCGATCCGCTCCACCCATCGCGAATCCCCGACCTCAAGACAGGCTCCTCCCGTGCCTCCGCCCTTTCCGTCGTTCGTCCGTATGGTCAAGTTTACGGCGACGGAGAAGGATTGCCTTGACGACGACGGCAAGGTGGCGGAGTGCATGATTTGCATGGAGGAGTACAAGGTGGACGACGTGCTGGCCCGCCTCGAATGCCTGTGCAAGTTCCACCTTGACTGCCTTGAGGATTGGTTCCAGAAGAAGTCTGAGTGTCCTGTTCACTTCCGCCCGGAGTGAGCGGTTCTCGGTCCTTCGGATGGAAACTCGGGGATGAGCGTTGGGGGACGTTGGGCGGAAGCTCTATCTTGGCTTTTTTTTTCCCTTTTCAATTGTTTGATTGAGCACTTTGGCGCTGGGGCGGAGGGTGGATATGGCTTTTGATACCCTGTTTGTGTTCCTTTAATACAATGAGAAGAATCCATGATAATAATGAGTGCATTGGTCCCAATTTGCAGCTGTATAATTAGGTTGACAGAATAAGTAGCTCAGAGTATTGTCCTGGTAACAGTTCTGGGGGCCAGATCAAGTCACGTGCCAGTCAGCCCATTTGCTGAGCGACAGCACTCTGTTCCGGAAACCCTCGCCTTGACGAAGTGCAGACATCACGAGCGTGCCTAAAACGATCTTCAGAGCAATCCTGGGGCTTTTTATACCGTCCGCTGCCACCCTCAGTTAACCCGATCGGAGTAAAGCTCCCCCAAATCTCCGTGTCGGTCAATCGGTGCTTGCGCCCACCGTCCTCCGCTCGTGGGGTGCACATTCCCCCCGATCCTCCGCCATCCCGGCAAGCAGATTTGTATCGTATCTGGTAAGTCGGAATAAGCATGCATTTTATTCTCCGGCTGACCTATCCCCCAAGTCTCCCTGCGCCTGGAGTATCGGTGCCAGCCGACTTGGCGCGGTATCCGCACCCGGATGGAGCTTCATAGCGCACACCCGCATCCCGACCAAAATGGCGGCCAACCCTCATCCCGGGCTGCCGAGAATACATATCCAGACCCCCCGGCACATCCACCCGTAGAATCGGCCCGGTCTCAAGCAGACACGCAAGCTGAACAGACGGCCGACTCGGGTGACCCACAGGATCCTCTGGCCGATCTGAAGCGCCCGCGTGCCTGCGAGCCATGTCGCCAGTTGAAGGTTCGGTGCGATCCGGATCCGAATCACCCGGACGGATCTTGCAAGAGATGCGCCAAGGCACGTCGCAATTGTGTTGTCACGGCGCCAACTCGGAAGCGTCAGAAAAAGACCGACAGCCGCGTCACGGAGCTGGAGCGGAAGATCGATGCATTGACGGCCAGCCTGCAGATGTCACACAGTGGTGGGCTACTTCCACAGGGACAGCCTTCGCAGCAGCCCCAACCCCAGCATGTGCAACAACATCAGAGTGAGCTACAATCCAGTCACCGCTGGGAACCCAGTCTGGCTGGCAATAAACGGCAGCATGACAGTGACCTGAAAGAAGTCTCCAGTGGAAGTGGGTATCTGGCTCCGCCGTATTCCAGTCCCGACAATCAGTCAGTGGAAAAGAACTATGAACGCTCTCCGTCAAGACACTGGCGCGGACCTTTTAGCGGCGATACGGTCCCACCAAAGGCTGAAGCTGCCAATGAGTATGTTGACTGCATCGATCGAGGGCTGGTCACTGTTCAACTCGCCGAGGCGGCCTTTGATCTCTACATCAAAAAAATGGCTCCCCAATATCCGATGGTTGTCTTCCCTACCCACACGACCATGAGTGATATTCGTCGCAGCAAACCAGCTCTGTTTCTTGCAATCACTGCAGTTGCTATTGGACCTCTTAGTTCTGATCTACAGGTTCCTCTCTTTACAGAATTCTACCGCATGATTGCGGAGCGCGTTGTGGTCAACGGCGAGAAAGCTCTCGAGCTGTGTCAAGGCCTCCTGGTCTGTTGTATCTGGTACCTGCCACCAGATAACTTCGAAGAACTCAAGTTCTACCAACTGATTCACATGGCTTCAGCCCTGGCAATGGATCTGGGGATGAACCGCCGCAGCCTGACAACCAAAAAAGGATTCAATTTTGTCCGTGAGCTGATGGGCAAGAAGACGAATCCATCGTTCGATCCAGATGGCCCAGAAGCGAGACGGACCTGGGTGGCATGCTACTTTTTGTCAGTCCAGGTTTCGGCGGCCTTGAGAAGAACTCAACTGGTTCGGTGGCAGCCGTACATGGATGAATGTGTTGAGATCTTGGAAACTCATCCCGACGCTCTTCCCTCTGACAAAGATCTACTCTCATGGGCGAAGCTCGGATACATCATGGAGGAGGCTTCATTGTCGGTGCCATCAGAGGAAACTATTTCCATTATGTCGTTCTCCGAAAGCAAACTCAGGTATACGATGAAGGGGCTTGCAAATAAACTGAATCAGTGGAGGAGAGAGACTCCTGAGGAAAGGATGACCGGTAAATGGCACCGGTCAAGTCTACTTGTGAGCGGTCTGCTAACTACCTGCAGTGCTGATGTCCAATACCGAACACATCATCAACCTTTATCTTCATGAGATCGCCTTGAATGTCGACTGCAACAACTCTAAAGAGCTTGAAGACCCGTCTAGTTCAGCAGCCATCGCTTTCGTCGACGCATTAACCACCTGCATCCACTGCATCCATAAAAGTCTGGACACTATTCTCTCATTCGAGATTGATCAGTTCATCCTCCTTCCTACCACCTCCCTAGCGCGGACGTCATATGCAATTGTTAGCCTGATCAAGCTGTACTCGCTTCTCACATCCCCGGACAATCGGCTTGGGCAGATTGTCGATGTGAAGAGCCTGAAGATGGAGTACTATCTCGACCATGTCTTGGCCCATTACCGCGCAGGTGCGGCTCGCGATGGTGGGCGTGCAGCAGCCAAGTTTGCGCATATCCTGGGGATGTTACGGAACTGGTTTCTCAAGAAAAAAGACCAAGGGCCAGGTCTCAGGGAGGCGATGACTCGTGCAGAAGGTGCCTGTGACAAAAAAGTATGTTTACCTCTCCTTGCAGCGATGACCACTTACTGACGAATAATAATAAAGCCGGAACGAACACCTCTCCATCTTCTCAGCGAAGTGGCCGTGGGCGATCCACTTCACCGGACTTCTTCTGGTGGCTTCAGTCATTCTCCTCTGATGGCGTCAGAACAGGGTCGCCATCTTTCCGCATCCACAGCCACAGGTAATCCAGGGCCATCAACACCTGGTCAATCCAGTCTCAGCACCTCCACCACATCTCCAGGCTCGTTGCAGCGCATGACAACGTCAACCACTGTGTCCGACACATCAGCAGGGTGGCCCTCCTTCCAAAGCCCCCGAGATCCCAATATGCCGAACAGGGGCTTTTACGCTTCTTTCACCTCATCGGCAGATCCCTCGAGCACATACGCAACACAACAGGGCTACGGCGAGATGTCTTCCCTTGGCATGAACCCGGGGCAGTCACAGCAGTCTATGGGAATGCTGCCCGACCTCGGGATGGAGACGAGCTTTGACCCGAGTAACTTTTGGGCGCTTGGGAATATGATGGATGAGGGGTTATTCAATTTCCCGTTGTCATTTGATCCGAACCTGGAGTTTTATTGAGTGTAGATGCCTACAGAGATGTACAATTACTCTACTCTGATGATACAATATACCCTTTCTCCCTTCCATAATAAGACAACCTTGTTAGTTACAAGGAACCCAGTCCCTAAACTCATGCAAGACGATGCAACAATTCCTTGCCCTCCAACCACCGCTCCAAATTCTCCGCCGTCTCCTCATACCACGTATGCATCAGTGCCTCGTCAACATATCCCATATGCGGCGTGAGCAAAAGATTACTTCGTCCATCCTTCCCCCATTCCGTAGAGCGCCAATAACTCTCACGCGGCAAAGGCTCGCGATCAAAGACATCCAGCGCAGCACCACCAATACGCCCCTCCACCAAAGCACTATACAGCGCCTCGTCATCAATCAACCCCCCGCGCGAAGTATTAACCAGCAGCGCCTCCTCCTTCATGCACCCCAACTCCGGCCCGGAGACAAGATGCCTCGACCGGTCACCGAGAACATAGTGCAAGCTAACGACATCAGACTCACAAAACAAGTGCCTCTTCTGAACCGCCATAAAAGTCGGTGCACCAATGTCATCCCGAAGCGGGAGACCCAACTCTACCGCTTTCCGATCCGCTTTATCCTGCGTCAGATTCTCGCTCCAGCAGAGAACGCGCATCCCAAATGCCAGAACAGCAATGCGCGCCGTCGCGCCGCCGAGACGACCCAGTCCGACCACCCCGAGCGTTTTCCCGTACAGCCCTCGCGCAAGACTCGTCTGCCACGCTCGGCGCGCGGGGTCTTTCATCGCCGCGTCGTCAGAGGTGACGTTCCGGGCTAGCGCGAGGATCAAGGCCCAGGTATGCTGTGTTGTTGGATGGGATGCACCGGCTTTGATATTGGGATGGCGCGGCGTGGTAGATATAGAATCTGTACGGCCTCGTCCCGGCGCCGCAGTGACCATAATTCCACAATCGCGCGCAGCAGCAAGATCGAACGTTTCAAATTGCGTCCCCGTCGCAAGGATGAGTCGGAGATTGGGCAGTGAGCGCAGTAAGTCTGCGGGGAAGGGGGTGCGTTCCCGCATAGCGGAGAGCACGGTGAATGGTTTTAGGCGGGCGATTAGCGCTTCTCTTTGGGTGGGTGTAGTGCTAGAGTGCGTGTATGGTGGTAGTGAGTCGGTGAAGACTGTGGGGGATATTTTTGAGTGTGGGATGTGGGCGAAGTGGTCGGTTGCGATGTTGAGGTAGTCGTCTAGAATGGCCATTTTGGGGATGTTTGGTGTCGATGAACCTGTAGTCTGGCCGCGGTGGAGGCGGCTGACTAGAGGGTTGAGGGCTGGTCTTCGGATTGGAAGCATTTTGCAAAATGCGAAGTAGACGAGTTAGACAAGTAAGCAAGTAGAATTTTGATAGAATTGGGTAAGGGTTGCGGCGGTGATTTAGCTGTCGCTCGTGCGGAGATATATATCTGCTCGAAGCAGCGATAATCGGAGGAAGGGCCGAAATGCCGCTAAACTAACTACATAGTCTTATCGGAGTCAACCCGAACGGAGAGAATATAGACCAGCAAAATTACGCGCTCATCTTTCTGTGTATAGTCTATCTCGAAACTTCAACTCCACGCCATGCGCGGACAATGCGCTGCTCGACATACGCCCACGGCCAACCGTTCTCGGTCTCAGTTCTGCGCAGCAGATCAAACACCACATTCTGGGCGAGGGGATTGTCGATCCACGCGCTGCACGCATAGAGGACATGGCAGGCCATGATCCGCAGGGAAGGGTCGTCTTCGGCTGACTGGCCAATGCCGAAGAGAAGGTTTAGGTTATCGGTAATTTCAGCCTGGGGCAGGCGGAGTCAGTGGTGATTGACATTTGAGGAAAGATGATACTTATAATTCACGCACTTTTAGTCGCATATACTGCTCTGTGATCAAGATGCTTCGGTCAAGCTGTTCAATTGCGCGAATGGAGAGTAGTGCCTTGGTGAGACAGATATGCTGGATGGCGGTGGCTGGCTTCAATTTAGCACGACTCCCTTTACCAGAAAACAGCATAGACCTACCATGCCATGAACTCATGTACCACACCTCAGGGAACGGCTTCCCTCTCGCAGGATCCGGTGGTGCCGCATGTAACGGGGCAAAGGTATCCGGACGAGAATTCTCCCACTCGGCAATGCGCTGCATGAGCGCATTCTCTCCCGCCACGCCCAAACAACCCCCGTAATTACGGCCGGAGACATTATAGCAGAAATCGATAGTCTCAGCCAATATCCAAATAGCGCGGTTGGTCCAGTCCTTATCGCTGAGGGTGCTCTTGGAAGCCCACCACCTGCGCAGACGATCATCAAAAGGCGCAAAACTCAGCCGAAGGCACTTCTGGTACGTTAGCGCGAACTGGATGTCCTGGATGACGAAGAGCCAGAAGGCCGCCGACGCGAGACCGCCGGAGATAGCGCAGTCGACGTGCGAGCTGATGTACACGGATCCAGCTAGAAGATGGCGCTGCGGGTCGTTGGGCGGGCTGTGCGAGGAGATTTGCTCGAAGAAACGCAGAATCACGGTTGATGCGAGCAGCAGGTCGATGCTGATCTTGAACTCGGGTTTGTCGAGGACTGGAAGCATGATTGAGATGCAGCGCTCGTGGTAGTCGTCTGCGACATCGGACGGAATGTTGTTTGTAGTCCGGGACAGGTGGCTCGCCGACACAGCCAGACATGCATACAACAGCAATGGCGAGTGAAGGGCGCGTTCGGCCACCTCTGTTGAGAAGTGTCGGCCGGGATCGCATGCGTCGAGCTGGCTGGGTTAGTCGTGAATGGCAAAGGTTTGGTTATGCGGAAGACTCACCCATGGCGCCAGATATCTCTGGAAATGCCGGAGGAGATACGCCTCGTTTACATTGGCCATCCGAGGCTGGCCGACAGGCGTCGGTGGCGAGCGCAATGAACTGGCTGAATTGGACCGCGTGTACGGCGGCCTCACCGGTGCGCTGGACCTCGCCCCAGAATCCATGGTCACCGATGAGGGTGTCGACCGAGACTCCGACGGCGACCGCGAGGTCGATGGTTCCTCTTTTATGGAGAGAACATGATACTCGGAGGCCGTCTCCTCGGTCTCGTCTTTGAAGGAGACTAATAGTAAATTAGTATTGCCGTTAGAGTTTGAGGCGACAAACATACAGCCCGAAGACGCCTGGACCCAAACTTGGTCCTTTGGGAAGGCCAAATCACTCTCCCCGTACCGCAGGGGACCCCTCTTTAGCAGGGAAGGGTTTTGGCCATGGCGGAAAGAGACTTCTTCTGATTTCGCGGGGGGCGGGACACATTCGCGGCCAGATCGTTGGCAGCGCAGACACTTAGCACCGGACTTGTCACCTAGCGAGCGTCAGCATGCTATCTGTGCACATAAAAATTCAAACGCACATTTCAGATGGCGGAGACGGCACGTGAGGCTAGGAAGGATTATTAGCAGCGAGACACAAAGTAAAACACACACGAGAAAAATCAAAACTGACCATCCCCTCATTACGCAGCACTGGCCGGACAAGCACTTGGGTTGCAGGAAGCGCGGCCCGACCGTAGATAAAGAGAAAGTCGAGCCCGCAAGAAGATGGATGTCGACATCTTTTCTTCAAGGCGTTGATTTGGAGTATATCAGGTGCCCGGCTCGTTGGAGATTAGCGCGACCCAAAAGGTGAGTGGATCGATGGTGTAACGCTCTCCACTAGTCCCCTGAGTGGATGCCCCCACGCGTCCGAGAGACAATTTGGGGGGGGGGGGGGGGGGTTAAAAGCGAGTGATCGTTTCCCCAAGGAGAAAGATCTCGAGGCGTCTATTTGGCAAGGCTGAGCGAGGAGAGATGCCGATAAGGGGAACCCCGTTGAGTTATTTTATTATTCAGAAAACATTTCGAAGGATTTGATGCAATTTGATCGATTGATTCCTTCAGCCCGAGATGCCCGCAATGCCGTCCGAGCCAATCACCTCCCGACACACACGCGAAAAAGACCCGTCTGGGACATGTGGTTTATAATCCGCTCAGCAGAACACCTAAAGAGTTATAAACTTCCACGGACCCGTCCGAAGCATTCTTCACCGGTCAGTCCAACCTGTCGTAATTGGACCGGCAACGCCGGGATCATCGGGGAGTGGTGGGTCGGCATCTTTGTACCATTCGGCATCGTGAGCTTAGGCCTGGGTGCAATTTCGCTGGACCGTGGGTGGCCCATCTCCAAGCCGGCGACCCTGTCGATCCGGGAATCGCAGAGTCGGAGGAGTGTCTGGATGAGTGTGTTCGTCCGCGGCCACTAGTACGGTGGGATGGCAGCTGCCTGTTTAAGCAAGAGTACAGAGGTTAATTGGGAGCTGTCGATAATAATCACGTATGGTTACCAATAATGCCGGAATAATGTAGTTTTTTTCAGGGCTGGGCGCCATAGTTAATCAACCACGTGACCATACGTCAGCTGCAAACAGAACAAGAACAAGGAACAACCCTGGAAGAGCAATAATCTCGATACGGCTGAAAAGTACAGACCTACTACAGTCGAGTCACTCCCCCACGAAGAACCAGAACACAAGCCTCGACCGCCCATGGAGAATTAATCAAGTGGGGTCCCTGGATCCACGATGTCTCTCAACCGTATCTCCTTCCTCGAGGCGTGGGAGCACAGCCGGTACCCACGCGGCCGGCCCGCCGACGATTTGGAATCCGACGAGGAGCCAGACGTCTACCAAGACCTGCCTGACTCGCCGCTCTCCTCGTCATTTCCCTCGACGTACTCCCGTCTGAACTTCAATCCCTATGCGGGGTCCGGCTGGACCGAGTCCGTCGCCGGTGATGACGACCCTAATGAACGGCAGTCGACCTTTTTGGGGTTGTCGCCCACGACCACGCGCGAGAGCTATGCTAATATGCATGTCCCTGGACATGTGGATCCCAGCCGAAACTACTCAGTAGTGCCGGAATATGATTATGATTCGACTAGTCTGGGTCAGGCCCAGGTGGGGTTAAAAGAGCCGCCGCAATGGGCTGTGGATGAGACGACAGGGGCATTTGAAGTGAGGCCTGCGAAGAGGATTGGTATGTATGCACTCCATCCTATGCATTGTGCGTACCCTTGGATTAACACCAGACAGCACAGGTGTGTATCGCAGTAATCTACTGCTTCCTCGCAGCAGGAATAGTCTTCGGCTTCGCGGCTCTGAAACCCATTCTCATTCGCGAGAAAGTATACCGCAACCTCTGCTCCCGGGCGGAGCTGGATGAGGATGTGAGCGTGTGTAATGGGCAGCAGATCAGGTACGTCAGCCTCATCCACTCTATCGTAGTCCCTAGCGTTAATTGATTTCTCCCAGGTTGAATCTGATGTTCACCATCGCCGCTGTAGTAACAAATGTCTCCGCGCTACCCGTGGGAACAATCTTAGATGCGTACGGCCCACGAGTAAGCGGACTCATCGGCAGCGCATGCCTAGCCATTGGCGCGCTTCTCTTCGCCTTCGCGGCAAATATGCCTTTCGACGGGTATATCCCGGGGTATCTATTCCTGTCGCTCGGCGGACCTTTCGTCTTCATTTCGTCCTTTCATCTGTCAAATACATTCCCAAAGCGCTCGGGACTGATCTTGTCAATGCTAACGGGTGCATTCGACGCATCAAGCGCTGTGTTTCTAATCCTTCGACTGCTAAACGAGAATACGAGCGTGGTTTCCACCCGATCCTTCTTCTTGGTCTATCTCGCTGTCCCCGTATTCATCGCGGTCGCCCAGATACTGGTTATGCCGGGGACCTCGTACAAAACAGCCGGCGAGCTCGTGCACCAGGCCGAGGCGCATCTCGTCGCGGAAATGCATGACCGAGTCGATGACCGTATCGAGAATCGACATGAGAGCGAGCGTCAACGGACTAGTCGCCGCGTGCATAGGCAAGATATCGTGAATCAGATTCAGGATCTGTTGGACGATGGAACGGCCTCCGTGGCGGAGACTGTTGGCATTGATGACTCGATTTTCCAGGGAGATCTGGATAATCCGCAACCTCAACCAGTCCACACCACCAATGCAAACCCTCAACACCCCATTAAAGCACCACCACCACCACTACCAAACACCAGCGGCGTCTGGGGCGTCCTCCACAACCACTCACCTCTCCAACAGATTCTCACACCATGGTTCATCCTAATCGCCACATTCACCGTACTAATGATGCTCCGCATAAACTACTTCGTCGCCACAATCCGTCAACAATACACCTACCTCCTGTCCCCCACACAAGCCACAACCTTGAACTCCATCTTCGACGTCCTCCTCCCAGTCGGTGGACTCATCTCCGTGCCCTTCACCGGGATATTCCTCGACACCTTCCAGACACGAACGGTTCTCACGCTGTTAGCGGGATTAGCAACACTGATCGGCGTGCTGGGGTGTATCAGAGACAGCGTGCCTGCGGCGTATGCGAATATTGTCCTCTTCGTGCTGTACAGACCGTTCTATTACACATCCGTCTCGGACTATGCGGCAAAGGTCTTCGGGTTCCGCGCCTTTGGAAAGGTGTATGGGCTGATTATCTGTCTTGCTGGCGTGGGTAATTTCGCGCAGGCGGGTTTGGATGCCCTCACGCTGCGTACTTTTGGCGGGAATCCTGTGCCGGTCAACGTCGTTCTCACGTTGGTTGTTGCTGTGGTGGGGACGGCACTTGCGGGGTTTGTGGCGTGGAGGACGATTGTTTTGGAGGCTGCGGCAGATCAACAACAGGGAGATGGGGTTGGAGAGGGGGATGGGCAGGGTGTGCAAAGTCCAGCTCTAGGTCCAGCTCGTACAGGCAACACTGATGATGATGCGTTGTCTGGTGTCGCAGCTAGAGACTGGGAGACAGAGGAGCAGCCTCTGTTGCAGGGACAGCACCGTCCGTCATATGGTGTTGTATAGATCAGTTCCCTCCTGGACTACGGAGCTCGACTGAGAGGACTAGTTACGGTCTACGATTACGATTTTCACATACACCAGTATTTATTGATAACGTTGCTCGATTTTGATTTTGATATTGGTATTGATATATTGTATTTTTTTTTATCATATAAACAGTTGCGAGAAATCGCCTGAAAGGCAGTGGTGGTTGGTTGATTAGAAAGAGATCCGTGGCATGACAGTTGGAAAGGGCACATAGCATGTTCGTCGTAACGGAGTTGTGGGGATGAATAAGGATATCAGTGTGAGAATGCCCAGCTGGGAAGGGAAGGGAAAGGTGAGCCAAACCACTGCCAGTAGGGGGAAATGGAGTGCTAAATGAAAATATAAAACATGCTGAACGGACACAGATATTAGATCACAAGGAAAATCCGAAACACATGCTAGATGAATGGAGGAAAAGGATGCCACCCCAAAAAAAGAACGCCGAGGCCAGGCCAATAGTTAGAGGAACAGAACTGCGTTTGTCGCGTAGGTGAGGTAGTAACAGTCCGAGATATCGTTGTGTGTCAACAACGCGGGTTGAGGGAGTAGGCCGTAAAGCTTCATGATGAAAATCGCGGCCAGGCGGAGGATAGATGTTTAGGCAAAGAGATGCTCGATTGGCCTGTTGCTGTAAAAGACCATAACTCCGAGTATTTTTGCTCAGAAGCTTTTCATACGGTAGGGTGGGATCAATGAACTCGTGGCAGCATCGCAGAGCTATTGCGTTACGAGGGTGCGCTCGATTTCAAACCAGAGCGTCTCACCCGCCACGTCGCACGCAACGTCGTACCATAGCATCATCTCCAAGAGATTCTTGAGCTCGCTCCACGACGACAATCCACTGCGTCGGGCCGTATCGCCCAACATGGACACATACCACGTGCGTGCCGGTGAATCCACCGCAGCGATAGCGCCCAGAGTCAGCACCCACAGCAAGACAATGCGGGTACTAGGCGAGGACCAGAGAGCCGCTGCATCAGGCTCGCGGAGAACGGCCTGCATTTGGAAGGCAAGGTTTGGCAGCGGGGAATTCTTCGCTGGAATGGGGAAGATCACGCCGACTCCGAAAATCATAGCTGCCAGACGAGAGGCCTCGTAGGTGGATGCGTGGCTCGAATGTGAGAAATAGGACATGATTTGGTCGGCGGGCGGTAAGGAGAGGTGGGTGTGTTGGGTGATATTGCGCTGGTCAGCGAGGAGGGACAGGTCGGAGGCGCCGGGGTTATTCTCATGTGCTTTGACGATGTTGATGTAGGTGTATATTGCGTGGAGTGCCTCGGCCATTTGCGGGGTGATGCCGATACCAACCAGTTGTCCAAACCCGTTCTCAACATCTGACTGAGTGTATCCGAGCATTTCTTGTACAGATATGCCACGCCTGCTCTCTTCCAGGGGTCGGAATTCGAATCCTGGGGCAATGCAGAGACAACTGCAAGTGAAGATGTCGGAGCTAGAATTTCAGGGTTAGTGAGTTACAGATGCATAATCAAGAAACAGGTCTTACAAGCTGATTGTCGGGGCCAACCCCTTCAATGAAATACTGTCCAACCCGCCCCGTAGCTTGATCAGCTGTATCAATCCCTGAATATGAATCATATTCGGGGGTAGACGGCCATAGACATCGATCCACTGTAGGCGCTGGAGAGGCGGATTGAACGGGGTTGGCCGATCACCTCCATCATGCTCCTCATCCGATCTATGATGTGCCATGCAGATGACGCTGAGGATGACTGCATCGCTCACTGCTCGGGTCGGATCCCGGACAGCCTGGCTGATCAACTTGATCGACTCCATCTCGCACAGTTCCAGTAACTGTTGTTGTCGCGGTCCAAAGGTAGTCCCAGGAATCGAACGTTTAAGCCACTGCACGCGTTGATGGCAGAGCGAAGCGAACATGAATGCCGTGAAGAGCGCGGGATCGGTCATCGATAGGGGAAACCAGGTTTCGGGGACGGAGCGCGCTACTGCGCGGTTATTGACAGGCCGGGAGGGAGCCAGGCCGGGCCAGAGAATGGACATGCCTGTTGAGGGAGGGCAAAGGTTAGCACCGCTATGGCCAGATTCTTGTGTGATACGAACAGTAGGTCTCGCACATGTGAACCATCTCCGGTGCGAAATTTGAAGGGTAGGTGCCGAACGGATCGAATACCCCCGAAATCAGCGGCTCCACGGACATGATTTCACCCCAGGGGGCAGACATCTTATCCCCCGACACCATGGTCAACGAGCCATCATCACTGCTGTCGCTACTCTCGCTGGACTGCGAGAGCGCAAAGGGCGACCCCTGGCAATCACGCGGCAGCTCCGCAGACTGACCGGATCCCGAGCCGGAGGAAAACGAGGAGGCACGCGGCGCGACAAGCGAACGGGAGAAATCGCGGGCGGGTTGTTTGCCAGCGGCGACTGCTGCTGCTGTGGAGGATTCGAGAGCGCTCGAGCGATCTTTAGTCTGGTCGGAGATCCATCGGCCGACGTGCGCGCGCACCAGACGTTGGGCGTTGATTTTCTCAGTCTCGGAGGAGGGTCTGGCGTTGACGAAGTGGATGCCCTCCTTTTTGCGGGCAGGGGTGGGTTTTTTGCGAGAAGACATGTCCGAAGGCGCAAGCGCGGGCGCGGGCGCTCTAATCCCTGATCATGGGCGGAGGCAGCGAGAGGGATGAAGCAGGTGCATACTGCAGCGACAGGGGGTTGGTGGAGAAGATTGTTGTCGGGAAAGGGAGAGTGGGAGAGAAAAAGAGAAGTGTGGGTGGAAGTGGAAATAGAGAATCGAGAAAAGGAAAGAAAAAGAGTGGGGTGGGGAAGACAGGGAGAGAGAGAGAGAGAGCAGATCGTGTCGAATGGAGAGACAAAGAGAGACTTCTGCAGGGAAGGAAGAACAAGCGTGACTTGATGGGGGCCGGAGCAACACTAGCATTATCTACTAGTAACCCGAGAACTATGGTTCAGTACCGGGGGGGGAAATAGACTCCCGCCGAATAATGAAGGGCGGGATACGAGTTGAAACAGGGGCACCAGTCCGGGGGAAGGATCAAATATGACAGCCAGTCTGACTGACAGTTGGCTCCACCCAGGGAGGATGCCGATCAAGTGAGATGTCATATGAGGTTTTGTCAGGTAAGTTACCATTAACTTTAACGAGTTAGTCCCTATAATTATTCTCCCTTCTAGTCAATCTCCAACAGGCTATACCGACTGCTCTCCCCCGTCGTCGGGTCCTGGTACGCCTCCAATGCCTTTTCCACTACAGCCATATATCCCAGCACCTGCTCCTCCTGCCAGCGCCGCCCAACCACCTGCACTGCGGTCGGCAGACCCGCCATCAGCCGCGAGTCATAGTGCTTCCACGCCCCGCGGGCGATGGCATGATCACAGCCCAGATTCTTAAGCATCTTCTTGTACGGACCAACCAGGGCGTCGCGGATAGGGTCGACATGGCCGACCGGCAAGACTCCGGCCGAGTAATCCAGCAGATTCCAGAGGAAAGTATAGCCACACGACGAGACAGCGTCATGCATCGCCTTGTGCGGCAGCGCGGGAGTCGCGTTGACGGGACACAGGATAAAGTCGAACTGCTGCTCCTCGGCATCCCACCACTGGTGCCAGGTGGCGCGGAAGGTCTCACGTTGAGCCGTCAGCGGCCACAGCTCGGCGGCGGACTTGGGCCCGAAGTCGCGGAGCAATGTCGCCAGCACCTTGTCCCGCCGGATGTAACGCACATACAGGTAGTACAAATATCGCACCGGGCGCGGGAGGTGGGCGACACGGCTAAGCTGGTTGGCGCCGGGGTCCGACGGCTCGAAGCTGCGCAGGGGTGCGTTGAAGTGATGGCAACCGTCTGCGTTGAGCAGTTGCGAAGCCAGATTCAGGCCTGTGAAAGGGTCCGCTCCCTTGGGAGGCGCAATCTCCTTGATGGTATGTCCCGCGGCGGTTAGGGCAGCCACGGTGGTGGAGACCGCCCGTTCAATGGCCGGAGTGGGAGGCACCACGCCTTTTGTTATCTATCAGTACAACCGACACGAAACTGGGAAGACACAACCATACCATCGCTGCTCATCAAACCTATGCGAAGCGGCCGGCCCTGCGCGTTGGCCGCCAGGTTCTCCCGCCAGGAGATGGGATGAACCGTGTAATCGTACTTCCACGGTTCCATTCCGACAATGGCGCGGGTGAAGTAGGTCAGGTCATTCAAAGTGCGAGCCATCGGACTGAACACACTGGGAATGCCCTCCTGGCCGGCCATGCTGGTGCTCACGCCGACCTTGGGCCAGCGCCCGGTGCTGCAGCGGAGGGAATAGATACCGCTCCACGCAGCGGGTACGCGCACCGATCCCGCGACATCAGAGCCAATGCCGATACGACCACCCTGCGCCAGCAACGCGGCCTCACCACCGGTCGAGCCACCGGGCGAATAGCCAGGGGAATGCGGGTTGAGACAGTGGCCCCAGAGGCCGTTGGCCGACTCGAACGACAAGAGAGTGATGGGGAGAGCCGTCTTGGCGTATGGCACGGCACCTGGCGAGCAGTCAGAATCAAGACAAGAACCGGACAGAAATATCTCATACCGGCATCCTTCAAGAGCTTGGTCATGGGTCCATCTTCCGAGAGCGGCTGATTGGCCTTGGTCGAGTAGCCGAGAGTGGTGTCAAACCCCTTGACATGCACCGAGTCCTTCAGCGAGACGGGGATACCCGCCAACGGGCCCTTGAGGTTAATCTCGGACTGCAACCAGGTCTCCGCCTCGGGGATCAACAGCTCGGTAATGCAGTTGGTGCGCTCCTGCGCGCGCTTGGCGACCTTACCGTAGGCGCGGAGGACATTGACGGGCTCGATGGTGGAGTTGTGGATGTCCTGGACGAGCTCCTCGATGGGTTTGTCGAGGATGTCTGCCTTGTCGGACTTGGTGATGTGGAGGTGGTAGGGGGTGGGGAGGTTGGCGAATCGGTCCCTCCGCTGCTGTTGTTTTTGGGCCCTGGCAGGGGTTAGTGATTGGGGGTAGTGTGTAGGAGGTGGCTAGGACTGACCGAATTTGCCGGTAGGTGAAGTAATCGAATGGAGGCAACATGGTGGCTAGGGTGGAAGAAGTCAAGGGACCGATTAATACCAATATGGGGGGCGTTCGGGTCGTAGTTATAGCTGCGGGGGAGGTGGAGTTGGTTGCGATAAGCCGACGATAGGCGAGTGGCCGAGGCGAATACGGCAGTAGTACTTACTATGTACGCGCAGGGAATAGGAACTATTAACTAGCAGGGATAGGGGTTATTAGGGTTGACTGGTTGTTTTGAGAATTATTCTATAATTACAGGCTACTAGAGTCTTCAGGTAGGATAGCACCTGGTAGATGCGAGTAGACATTCGTCCCTTCTAGGAAGGTATACGCGGATGGAGATAGAGTGATTTGATAACCAAAGCCCTAACCATGTAAGAAACCCGCTGGAGGCGGTGGGTATATATAATCTCCAGATTCAACTATCAACATCCCCATCGAACCCAGTATATATTCTCACTGCACACTGGCCTGGCCCTGCAACCAATTATGCTCACTGAGCCACCAGACCACCACGCCACCCGCAACCAGACACAATATAAGCATACAAATGATGACGCCGACGAGGAAACTGCGTCTGCGCTTCTTGTGTTCGCGTGAGAGCCACGATTCTCTGATGGGTCTTAATTAGTAGGGGTTCGGGTTGATTAACAGGCAAGGGCGGGTGGATGGGTCCGTACTCGTCTTCTTTCTTCTTTTGCTTTTCTTTCGCCCTTTCTTTCTCCTTCCTCTCCTTCTCCTTCTTCTTCAGCTCCTGCGGGTCTATCTTCTTCTCTGGTTCAGTTGTTTCGGGTTGTTCTTGTCCTTCGGGTTTGGTTTCGGGGTTGGCTTCTGCATCGGCTTGTTCTTGCATGTGCACGGCCGCGGAGAAACGCTTCCAGAAATAGGGGTCGCGGACGAGGGCCATTATCGAGATTGAGGTCAAGAACCTTGAGTTGGAAGATTGATTGAAGGAAGCAAGGTTGATTTGAGAAGTTGTGTCGCGGGTGGGACGATGTTTTGGTCAATACTCGGGACGAAAGGGATGTGTGTCTCAGAAGTGCGACAACAACAATAAACAATAAAAACGCAGGGCGCACAACAGAACAAGTAGCAATTAAAGGCAAATAGGAATTAAAGGAGGGCAAAAAGACAAGCTGACAAAATAAGATGCAATTCCCATGAGCAGTTCGAGGGTACATGCGGCACTGAACTAACCGCGATGGGTGGGAGATGTGTCCCTATGTACCACCCGCTGGCAAAGGCGCATCTCCCTCCCGCGCCATGTCGCCGGTGGGTCTATCCGCTGATAGGAGGATGTGATAGGTGAGAGCTTGTTGAGAATGTCGGGTAGCTGGACATGGCATGTCGATCGTAGAATGAAGGGGTGCTGGAAGAGAAGATTAACAGCGAGCCAATGAAGTTGGTTTCTACTCCTGACTGGAATGCGGCTGGGCAATTGTGAGGCAGCAGTGCTACAAGTAGTTATGCATCTGAGTTCACTTGCTAGTGTATTTTAGATATAGTAGGTGACTTGAAGAAGCGCACCTATTAGATAAAGCAGAGGTAGCAAGATAGGCGTACTCATCGATCAACGGAACGACACTGCATTACAACTCTGCGCCACTAAACTCAATGTACACCAATAAAAATATATATTCGTGAACTAATGCTCAGCGATCAAGCAGTGATGCGCGCAAGTGCATAGAAACTAAGAGGGCCCGTACGGGTTGACTTCGATACATTGAAATGAAGTCGCAGTATTAACGCTAAAACCAACAAGGAACAATCTCTAGAACAACATTGATCATTATCGCACACGGCGCACCACCTAGAGACAAGTCAGATATAAGGTATTTAGATCCCATGAGTTTAGACCCCAGGAATTGAGATCCAGGAATAGACTTACTCTCGCCACAACTCGGAGTGATCTGGCCTAAGAAAGTGTTAACCTTTCTATTTTCGCTACATCTGAGAATTATATTAAGTAGGCGTGGAGAACTATAGATACTTGGGAAGTTGAAATTATTCCACGTGAACGCGCGAGAGTACAGCAGCGAATATATGTGCAGTGTATCCTAAACACACCTCATCCCTTCAGCTTAAAATTCCAACTTGGTGTAGGGTCCATATGCCTTGGCCCTCCCTGCTTGGAGTTCCTGGGAGAGATTGCGTGGTGATACGTGGCTCCGCCTAGCTGCCACTCTTTGCTTGAGTTGGATAGACTGGTCGGTCTGACTGATTTTCAGTGACTCGAAAACGTCGGTTTGCTCGAAATTTGGAGCATCTGCGTGTCCCAGCCACACGTTCAGCGTTACGCCAGCGGATTCAGCTTCACGCGCGAGTGAAGAGGGCAGCGTCCAGAGTCCAGCGGGCAGATACTCCTCTGTTTCAGGGTCATAGCCTCCCTCAAACGAGAAGATGGTCACCGTGCGTAAATATGGGAGATGCGACCTCTTATGTCTAATCAAATCAAGAACAAAAGTATCGTATCGCTCATCGTTGCCCTCGCACAAAAATTGAGTCAGTTCAATATCGTCGTAAAATACCTCCAGCACCTCCAGACTCTGAGGTAAACCTTTCCAAATCCCGTACGGGTCATCCCACCCGCAGAGAAAGACGTGGTAAATGCGTAAGGTTTTAAGGGACGTGAACTCGCTCAGATCAATGCGAGGTCCATTGCCCAGTCCTTCATGGTCAAGCCACGGCCGTGTCATTGTAAGTTCTGCCAACGTTTTCCTTTGTGATCGCAGTGCACGCACAAAAGCAGCACATGTCCAACTTTTGGCTGGCTCATTTCCATAATGGCCCTCCCACTCGCCTTGTTCAGCATCGTAGTGAAGTATTTTCAAAGCTGCTGGCCAGCTTAGCACAGCGGCCAAAGCCGCCTCATGCGCCCCACAACTAATCAGCCTTAGACATTCCACGGGTGAAGTGCCAATATGTGAGTTGTTTTCAAATTGCATGGGCTCCCAATCCTTAAACTCGTGAATAGTAAGGGTCTGGATGTTGGAGAACCAAAAGGATTGAAAGATATCACGAATAGAGCGGTCACCCCAGGAGCCCCCGCATGGAGTGATCGCCGAAAAGATGTGTTGTTCGAGACTTGGGTTCTTCTCAAGGCTCCACTTCAGCTGCTGCACCGGAACCTTCTCGCCCACGTGACAGTATTCGCGAACAAATATGTCATGATAAAATATCGGCTGTAGAAGACTATTCAGGCGATGGCAGGCGAGTAGGAAAGAATGAAGATATTTAACTCTCGGTGGTTGATTCTGCTTGATCGCGTAGCGGTAGGCATCTCCAAGCTCATAGAATGACAGTTCTACATGCTTCGTGTCCATTTGTAGGTAGTCCACGATGACTAGAATCAGTTCATCTGGAAGATCCAACAGACGTGCCATCTCGCCCCAGAGATGGTTCTTTTGGATGTGGATCAATTCAAACGGATTGGGTAACGGTGGGGACGGATGCGGAGAAGGAGGAGCAACGGGTGCAATGTTGCCAAATCGCCAGATCTCTCCAGCTCTTCGAGAATTTCGCCCACAACACTGTCCGAAGTAAGGTAATCGGTAAGCGAGCGGGGCGTGTAAGCGAGTGGGTCAGAGAACGTGATCGCGCCCTAACGCGTCAACTTCTTCATTTCAACTTGACCCCTGTTCGCAATCAAAATTCCCAAAATTCTGTCGACCAAGAGGGTAGAATCGAGCTTGCAACCAAAGCCTTCTAGAATGCGAAATTCCATCTATTCGCGAAGCTGCGCGCATATTTGAAGTCACTGATACAACTCTCCAACGTCGTATCGATGGCCACGAATTTCGCAAAGATACGTGCGCAAATAGTCAAATTGAGTCCCGAAGAAGAATAATCGCTCCTACAATAGATTCTATTTATAGATGTGCGCGGATCTCCCCCTAGCCCATCAATGGTTAGGGATATGGCTAATATTCTATAGCGGGAGCGTAAGAGTCAGCCTATTGGGACTAGATAACTAGGTCTACAACTATACTAACAGCCATCTAGAGCTCAAATCGCGCTATTCTTAATAGTATAATTACTAAAGGGCTTTATGCGAAGATCCACATATTATGTAATTATAGATTGACCTTGTACGACGCACGATCGACGAAAACGGTATCTAAGTAGAGGATATCTACAATAATGATAGAACAGGCTTCGCAATAGGCCTCGTTGCGGCCACTAAAGTCATTACAAGTGCTGAATACTATGTTTGGAGGCCGATCTTACAGCTAGGGAATGGATCACATCTATTGAATGTATAGGTACGACGGGATTTATACGCCAACCATTATCTTCAAATCATTAGTGCACTAACAATATACATAGTACGATGATCTACCTAACGGTTAGCGAGTTAAAGTTAGCGCTAATAGATGGACTACAGATAAACTTGGGCTACGATGGCTAGAAAGGCAGTTTATCCCTTATACGGCTAGTCGCACTAAGGGTAAATTTTGACTACTTATTCTAGACGGCCATAGGAGTCATTTGGCAGCTGGACTTGATCAAGTATGCGCCAGAAACAACATTATTGCAATTGGCATGCCTTCACATCTGTCGCATCTATTACAGCCTATAGATGTAGGCTGTTTTGCCCCATAAAGCGCGTATATACGGGGCTAATCGAGGCCAAAGCCTAGGCAGGAGTTAACCATATCGACAAGCTTGATTTCATTATGGCATTCCCAAAATCACGCATACAAGTATACTATAAAATGCTTTTGAAGCAGCTGGTTTAGTGCCATATGATCCACATCAAATTATGGAGAAGCTTAATGTTCGACTTCGGACGCCTCCCCCCATACGATACCGCTATGAAATGTAAGAAGCTTAGTTGAGGCGGTTTGAGATAGATTCATTTCGGTAGACAGATTTGTGTGGCATGCGTGGCCAGGAGAATAAAGGAATGTGCTGACTTCAGCAATCTGGGGTCTTGGTGTATGCAAATTCAGGTCAGAAAAGCCGCCCTCGAATCTGGAGGGCTGATACCCCGCGGTCTGCCCTACACTGCCACTAAGCTCCAACCAACACAGCCCCCTCGTCATCCATAAGAAAGGACACAAAGATCAGCATCCAAAATTCTTTTCAGCTGTGCTAGCTCTGCCAGTCAACTCGATATTCCATGCTACGATACCAAGCTGCAACACCTAGCAGTCTGACAAGTATCAGCATGATGAGGCGAAAACGACGTACGAGTCTCTGGGTTAAAATATCGCTAGGCGTTTTACTTTGTCCGTATATTGTTTTCATCGTTATCAATGATATCAGAAAATCCAGACGAAATGAGAAGCGAGCGGCGACCAACTAAATACCGCAATCTACGGTTTTACACTTTTGCTCCCACATCTCACTCGATGCACTGGCAAAAACTGGCTGCAGCCTTGCGCCCCTCCAGTGGGGCGGCAAGGCTGGCTTAGTTTCGTACCAGTAAACCTTGTCAGTGTCAAAATGCTTCATTGTTAGCAGGGGTAGGCGTTTGGTCACTTATAAAACGCTACGCTCGCCCTCTTGGCATCCCCAAGATTCAGTTTGTTTGACCACGTTTGGTCTATTGTTGCCCTACCATTTCAGTACCTCTTCACTCTTTGTTTAAGGACGTGGCCTATCTTAGTCTCCTTAAAGCACAATAAGAAAAAGTCTCTGGCAGGCTGCTTTCTTACGTTTTTACTATGGCTCCCCCGGCTTTACAAGCTCTGTTGAGTCTATTCCTCGCGGAATTGTCTACCTCGGTCAGTGCAGCAACATGTGGCCCCGGATATTACAATGCTTCTGGCAGCGTCAATCTGCCCTTTCCCAAGCCGCCAAACTTGTCACTATCAGACCCTTCCGGGAATTACACACTGTCTACACAGTTATCTTTCCCCGCCGGGTCGCTCGGGTTAAGCCAGTTCTTCAGAGCTGTAAATGCTAGTGGGAATGCCGTTGACGAAGATCCTCTCAACTACGAAGGCTGTTTCATTGTATTTGGTGATTCGGCTTGGCCATCGACAAACGATCATATCAACGAGCCCGACCAAGCCAGCTGTCAGTCTGCATTCTCATCAGACTGTATTTCCGAGATCATCTCGAATGCGGGCAGCATTGCGAACGGATTTTCTCAGCAGAATCAACTAGCAAGTGTTATGGATTGCGGTCAATTCACACCTCCAAAATGTGCCAAGGCCGGGAATGTATACTCTTCAGGTAGGTACATGGCTGCATCGGAATTCGAAGAGAGACCAGAGACTAGACGCTAATGCCCCTTTTTCTTTTCTAGCAATTTTTACCACGGAGGCAGATCGGCAATTTCCAGGCTTCGTTAGTAACTCTTCTAGCAACTCTTCCACCAACTGCCGGAGTGGAGAGCTGTCCTGGCTTTCAGGATTCGAGGACGGAAGGAAGTTGTCCGCATATCTCAAACAAGTCGACAGCGTTACCCCTGTCATGGTCGTAGCCTGGAACAATGCGTCGTCGAATCCTGGAGGCAAGGCTTGGTCGGATACTCGCTTTTTTTGCATGTCGACGAACAATATTACTCCAGGAAGCAAGTCAGGTGCTCCGTCCATGGGATCCGGCACGTTTGGATGGTATTTGTCTTGGGTCTCTAGCATCAGCTGTTTACTGTTGTTTGTAATCTAAAACGAGGACCTGTGAGTTACCGTTTGCATTTAGTTTTGTCTTTCCCGGTCTAGAGCCTCAATAACCGTTACGTACAATCGTCCACAGGACGTCCGGCATATTCTAATATTGCAAGAGACAAAAGTCTCCTTATTCGCTCCTTGTTTGTCCATCAAACAGGGCCGCAGCGCTGGTTCTCGTAATTCCATTGAAATGCAACCAGTATTCCGTAAAAATGGAGGACCGCTGCCATAAAAACCAAGACATGAAATATTTGGTGAGAGGCGCCCCAAATGTCAAAATATTCGGGCTTCCATGACTCCGGAAAGTTTGTCTGAGGTCGATGAGCGCTAGATTTCCTTTCAAATTGTATCCGCTACTTACCGCATAAAATAATACACCAATAATGAGAACTAGACCTTCAAGATAATAGTACCGCAGCCCTGCCTGTTGGTCCAGCTGTTCGTACGGGAAGAGACTAGAGGCATGGGTAATGGGCGCGAAGGCTGACAGCCCCGTTGCCACAAATGTCGACAGGCGTAAGATTCTCCACTCTTTGCTTTGCAAGCGAGGATGTACCACGACAAGACCAGTCAAGAGGCCGAGAATGCCAATCTACGAAGGAGGTAAGATAACGACAAAACAGCGAGAGAGGAATTTTCACACACCATCAACCAGTAGAGTTTCTGTAAATGTGGTTCACAGTAGAACCCAATATAAATTCCAGAGATGAAAGACCCGAGGATCTGGAAAACAATCGCAACATAATCAAACCGGGCCCATAGACCTGCGAAATGGGGAGAGTGACATAGCAGGGTATGATAGGTTGACGAGATACCGAAACAGATCATCGAGGTTGTCAGATAGATGTGAAACACGAGCTGATCGCTCCAAGATGCTCGCGGAAAAGAAGCGGCGAAGTATACGTAGAGGAGGCCGTTGCTCAACAAAGCCACCACGGCAGGGATCAGATGCGAGTACACATTGACCGTCTCGTTGTGCACGTACGCCAAGCTCTCGAAGCAAAGACGCGTAGAAGGTGTCACAGGGCGATAGCCAGTGCGAAGGTAGGCATTATGGGCATACCACGTTGGAACATCCTCGCTATTGAGCAACCGTGGTCGCCAACGTGCACGGCCAGGTTCCTTCAGTAGCGGGGTGTCGCAGCGGTCCGTCCCGCTCGCTATCCTGTCGTTGGGGGACTTGCGTCTGAGCAGCACCATTGTCTAGGGCTTTGGTGGCTGTTGTTGAATTAATTGCAGGCTGAATCTAGGGGGAGGGGGATCGGCGCATTGGTCCACCACCAGAGCGGTTAATCTCCAGAGATCTATCTGATTGTACCTCGTGGTGGAGCCTATGCGGATCTATCCTAAGCTAATGTTCGAGAGACACGAGTAAAGTCAGATATCACCGAGTCATGACCTATACCGTGATCTCCATAGACCAAGTGACTGTCCGAGTCATATCCATTCATCACATGGCGGGCTACCGTGGGATCATCCCCCGCAGTGGGTCCCGTGTTGTCGGTGCCTGACCGCCTCAGTCTGTGTTTACCTGTTTACACCTTCATCATCGACCATCACTCCTACTACTATGCGACAATCCCACATCTATCAACATGTCCAACGGTGCCAACAGTGACAGCCACTGGGGCACCCTGATCAACCCGGATAAGAGCCCGGCTCCGCTGCTCGAACAGCTTTGTCTCGGTATCGCACAGTTGATGGTCAGTCAGTTCTAGAATCCGAGAGAGATGACAGACAGAAGATGACTCTCCTTACTCATAGCCCTCCTTTTGTGCGGGTGGATCGGCCGACCTGACTCCCGAGCGACTCGCTGCCTTCTACCGCAAAGTCGGCGGCAACTACGATGCCTTGTTCCTCGAGACCAAATCCCAAGCGCTGTCCTTCATCTACCAGTCGCTGGGATGTTTCCACAGCCTCCAACCATCCACAAACCCTTATGAACCCCCCTCGACCCCTTCACTCCTCCCAAATGGATTCGTGCGGTGGCAGACCATCCAGCTGCTGATGGACCCGGACGAGCACTCGCGTTATCTGCAGAACGCTGTCAGTCTGTGGAATCTCACCGATGCAAATGGAGAGCCGTTCCCGAAAGAGCTACCCCGCGATGCATTTCCCTCCGAGCCAGACCCGGAAATGCTGCAGTGGCACGAGGGAGTCAGTAAGCGACTTGAATACGACTATGTGCAGAGGAACACTCCCCGTCCATGTTCCCCCAATTTTGGGGCGTATTACGGCCATGGCAGCAAGGATCACGAGAATGATTACTTCTCGCACAGGCCCGGCGGGTCAGGACGGCATCGAAGTCATTTTGACTCACTGGGGACTCGGCGTCGTGCTCGCAAGCCGCACTTCGCCTTTAACCCAGCTCCAGACGAACCACGATCCGGGTTCGCGTCACCACGCGTCCCAACTCCGCCTCCATGGCCAGAACGCCCTCCTCGGAAACCTCGAGCTCGCACAGCTTGGCCGGGCCGCTCTGTGAGCCCGTCGACAAGAGACGCCGATGACGCGTCGGCGGAGTCGTCCGACGATTCAGTCGGCCGGGCCAGCGAGTCTCTGCAGAAGAAGAGTCGAGATAAGCGCAATTTATCACCCCCGGCAGCCTCTCGAGCAAGACGGCATTCCCACGACGCGTACACGCGCAAACCTGTCCGCGATCTTTCTCCAGCAGCGTCTCCGCGTCAGCGCCGCAGCCACGGATCGAGACCAGGCAAATCACAAACGTCCGAAGAGCGCCCTCGATCTAAACCGCCAGGCGTCAAGTTTCGAGAATACATCTTCGATGATCCTGTCCCTCCACCAGGTCCAGATTCCCCCTACCCGCAGGGCCCAGCACCACCTCCGCCTCCAGCACCACCACCGCCTCGATACGTACCCCGTCATCGCAACTTGGATCCCTACGACGAGACCCGCCGAATGAGCTACAGCGGCAGTGGGAGTGGCAGTCGACCTGGAAGCGGGGGAGGCAGCAGCTCCGAGCGTCCGCGATCATACAGCAATGCTGGACTTCACTCGCGACTTTCTCGTCGGACTAGTCCCGTACGTAGTTCTGCTGCAAAACGATATATCCCGATCAGTGTTGCAGAAGATGATGCCTATATAGGCTCACGGAGAACACCTGTATACGACTGACAGCCATTCCCCTTGGATTGGGTTGTCTGATACATCCCGGGAGGTCTTGTTGCATTGTTCTTCTTCAGCATATGACCTATCTTCACATTCCACTCTACTGATACTTCGCTTCTCTCATTACACTGACTCTGCTCTTGATTTCTATGCATCTTGCGCCTGATTTATTTACCAGCATATGCATCATGACTTACGATTTGAAGGATACACGATTGATTTTAGCGGATCTCTGCTCTTTATCTCTTTTTATTTATGACTATGACTACTGGCCTGCCAGTTACTCTTTTTTCTCCCGTGTTTTACGACTGATATGCGATCTATGAGCTAGGACTAGGAATGCATTTACGTATCATAGAACGCCAGCTTCACTTCTAGAAGTACCACCAAATTCTGAGGCTTCGTGTTTTTACAACCTACATTCTTATACCCTTGTCAAATTAGTATAGAGCAGGAAAAAGCTTAAAAGGGTTACCACCGCAAAGTGTCCGTTCCCAGCCGCGAATGACAACAGCGTACGACCATCGTCCCTGAGTAGCCATCCTCCCGCTGCGTCTTGGTCGTAATTATCCGCATCAGCCTCGATGTTGTCTTATTATAGCAACAGCTCTACCACTAATATATGTCCGTGTTAGGCAGCAAAAACAGCGGTGTGTGATGGTAGTAATCTTTCGAGTTAGGATTGACATTATCTTTCCGTAGAAGCAAATCCACCCGCAGGTACATGTCTACGTCCGGCAGCGAACGACAGGGGCCTCCGACCTTCATTATTCTCTAGGTTAGGATTAATGTCATCTCTGTCGAGCAGCATTTTCACAATGGAATCATGCCCTTGCTTAGCAGCTCAATGCAGAGGAGTCGATTTATAGTGTTCAAGTTCATTGAGATTGACACTAGTGCAGGCAAGGAACCTCGTCCGTGATATTTGTCCGAGGCCCTCTCACCACTGGCGCCAATATTACGACGGGCGTGTATACGCTTTGGCTTCAACAGTCAGGCAACTTGTAGGCACACATAATAATCATATTAGCCCCTTTCTTCCGATCGTACTACAAAAAACCATGAAGCATGACTTAAATGGTAATGTATCCATATTTGTATTCTTCTGCAATGGCTGAACCACAATCCTGTCCATCCACCATGTACCCCCAAACTCATATCCACATCTACTGACTTTTATAAATAGTCGTGGCATTAGCGAGGAACGTAGTAAATGCTTCCTCGGCGGTATGAGGGGTGATCGAGTCAGGAAGATCCTGGCCGTCGTCATTACGGTCATTGACAGTCTTAGCCTTCGTCTTCTTAACCCAGGCCTGAGCGGCGTTGAACTCGCCGTCTGCCCTCTTCTTGTCCCCGGCATCGACCGCGTCGAGCATGGCAATCAAGTGCTGGCAGGCGTGTGCCCACTGCATCGCAACAGTCGACCAGGGCGCTACGTCCGAGGCGAAACTCTTCATCGCCATGCGGGGAAGGACGTCTGGGAGCGTAGTGAGGAGCGCGAGGCGGTTGTGCAGCGCCAAAGTGTTGCCGTGGCCGTGTCCGGGGGAATGCTTGCGAGCGGCCCAGAAAGCTGCAATGTCTTTGTTAAGCTCGGGCGAGCTGACCGCGGGGGTGCGGTATGGCCAGTTTTGGTTGAGGTCGGAAAACGCGAGGACAGCGTCGTGGACGACAGGGTCACTACCCGAGAGTTCCCATAGGATTGCAGCCATCGACTCGTCGGCGTTGTACGCTGGCCCGTTCCAGGTGTAGTCGCCATAGTTAGCGAGCGCGGGCATGGAGGCGTACGCCTCCTCCATCGGGTTCGAGGTGAAGCCCAGGAGATATTTGTACAGGTCTGCGGCACGGCCGGTGAGTGGGTTGAGGAACAAGCGGTCACGATTGCCGTCGTTGACGGGGAAGTTGTCCCACAAGAACAAGTTGTCCGTAACGTAAGTCGAATCGGCCTGTTGGACGCTTGTGGCATTGATCTGGTCACTGAAGACTCCTTCGCCGGTCCACTGGACGCGGATGTTCTTGTCCAGCCTCGTGCCGAACTCTTCCTTGTAAGGGTCTGGTGCGCTGCCGGCGTAGTTGGTCGGGACGGTTTCAAGGTTGTTGAGGCCGTTCGGTTCGATGTACTCCTTTTGGATACGGTTCAGGTAGTAGGCTTGGGAGTTGGCCAGCCAGTGGTAGTTGTCCCTGTTGCCCGTGGTGTTCCACCTCTTCTGATCCGCTGCGCAGTGGAACTCAAGAGGGATGTCGTCCAAGGCAATGTAGAAGCTGCGCACACCAAGCTGGCGAGCCTGATTGAACTTGGTGATCGTAGCGTTGAAGTCGGCATTTGAGGAATAGCACACATCTAATCCGGGCGATAGGGCAAAGGTGAAGTCGACGTGGTTGGTATTAGCGGTTTTGACGAGCTCCTTGAGCTGAGTGTAGGCTGTGCCGTTGTAAAGAGTGCGCCACTTCGCGCGGAGGAGCGGGTCATCCTTGGGCGTGTAGACGTAGGTGTTCATCTTGTGCTTGCCGTAGAAAACCAACTGGTCGAGACGCGCCTGATGAGACCAGGGAACGCCGTAGAAGCCCTCGATCGAGCCACGGATAGACATGAGCGGCCAGTCACGTACTTGGACACCGGGAACATGGTGACCGACGACAAGTTGGCGAAGAGTCTGTGACGCGTAGAAGGTGCCCCGCCCGTCTACGCCATTGAGGACAATAGTCGGCCGGTGCTCATAATCACCAGATGCAAGAACGTAGCCGTCGGCGGCGAGGCCATCCGCAGGTTTGCCCGTGAGCGCCTTGGCAATGGCGGCAGCGGCGCTATTTTCCGCCTCGGTGCCAATGACGATCTGCGTGCCCTGGCCAGTGGACTGGGACGAGACGATGGCATGACCACCGGCAGAAAGCACGGCCGCCTTGATTGTGTTAATCGTGGCCAGGTCCGTGACATTGCCGGTCACGATGGTGACAGGTCCGTTGAGTGAGACCCCTCCGCCGGACGATGAAATATGTTGAGGAGGGGGCCACACAGCGGGAAGTCTCTCATGTCTGCCCGTTTGGGCCGAGGGAGCAGCGTTAACCGACCCAAGACTGAGGAGGGCGACAAGACAAGCCCGAAGGCACGTGGTGCGATAGGGAAAGATCATGTTGGTGTGAGGATCCAGATGGTCAAGGACATGGCATGGTATATATACGTCGCGGGGGCGGGGAGACTCTTCTGTTGATAGGCAGGTTATGTGAAGTAGGATAACACCTAGAAGCGATACCCGGGGGTGACATTGGGAAATAGACTTCTTATTCCGCGCTAATTCTATCTACTCTATCTCGCGTGTAACGTTGCGATCGCAAGCGCACTTCCAAGGCCCGAGGTGGGGGGTAATATGTTGATCAACATTCCCCACAGTTATACATCTCGGCTTTCCGCCGGGGTCGCATTTTTTATCAGCGGCTACGGAGTTTAATGCCGAAGATTCAACAATCCTTATGTTTACACATCTTTAGGGTGTATTTTCATAACTAGATGCGGGGATCAAAGTCGAAGGTCACATCTCCCCCGTATCTATACAATCGAATTGGATCTAACTGTACCATATCCGTGAAACCACATCAAATATGCTCATCCGCTACCGAGGGACGAAATCGAAAGCCGGCCTACGTAGCTTACCAATATTACAATCTGATAACTAACAGAATCACCAACATAGAAGACCAAACATATTCCGTTTACGGCTCGCTATCATCATATGACTCGCAATAGAGATGGTGACTCATTCGGGAACCATCGCAGATAAATATCCTAATACCCGCTATCTACGTTTAATCAGAAATGGTACCTTTTTTTCCGAATACAAGGGTTACATAATCCCCAAACATGGATCAATACACTCCTACCTTTGACCTGCCCAAAGCACTGGACTCTGGTTTAATTCGTTCACTTGAGGACCCACGACCGGTTGTAGTTTTGACATGTGGCATCGCAGGTACGGACAGTCTAGACCACGAATGACAAGAAAAGAAAGCCAAAAGAAAGGCTAAAAAAGACCGACTCAATCTTCGCACAGGATCAGGAAAATCCACGCTCTCCAAAAGGATTCTCTCCAAAAATTCATCTTTCGAGCGTCTCTCCATTGACTCCTACATTTACAGCCACCACGGCTTATATGCAATTGACTATCCAACCGAACGATATGAGCAATATCAAGAAGAGGCCGAGAAAGCTCTTCGGGCTGAATTGATCAGATTACTGGAGTCGGGAAACAGCAACGTGATCTTAGACTTCTCCTTCGCATTCCGGAAAACACGGGATGATTGGAAAAGCCTCATTGAGGCAAGAGGTGGTCGTTGGGTCCTTGTGTATCTCGATATCAACGAGAAAGAATTGCGTCGACGAGTGAAGGCGAGGAATCAGTTAGACGTTAAAGATGGAGATTCAGCATATCTAGTAACTGAGGAGGTGCTTGAAAAGTATTTAGCGGGATTTGAGCAGCCAGAAGGAGAAGGGGAGATTGTGTTGCGTTTATAGTGCATGAATTATTCGTTATTGCAACGCTAAGTTATGTAGATATTATGGACATTGAAGCATTCCCTATGTCATCTTAGCGCGCTGGAAAGTGAACCCATAGTCCTGAAAGACTGCACACTTATCCGTGTCTGCAAAGTTGACAGTAGCATGTGAAGGTGGCATTCCAAGGAATGTGAGGTTGCGATTCGAAGCACTGTACGGCTGGATTTCATAACCGTGTCCGTCGTCCTTCTCGCCACCAGCAAAGATAGTATAAGTGGTGGCGTATGCAGGCCCCCGAACCTTGAGGAATTCAAGATTCGGGTTAGGATTGTGGGTACGGAACCAGGCACCCCAGACATCGTGCAAGAGTTGGGAGTGGCGGATATCCAGGTCATCGTAATACGGCGCCACGTTCAATGTCTTCGAGTTGAGTGTTCCCCATGCAAGGAGGACATCAGACGAATGACAGGTGGCATTGTAGGCGCTGTTCGGAGAGCAGATGGCAGGAACGTCAACATTTGTCTGGATGTGTCCTTGGTTGATTTCCACTTCATACAGCGACGGGAATGCATCACCGGCATGATTGAGGAGCCAACCCTGGGCGCATTCCCATTCAGAGTAGGTCACTGCGACGGCGGCGGCATTGCGTACGCCATCGGGATCGGACCAGTTGGCCTGGAAAGCACCGGAAAGGGACATTTTTGAGCCGAGGTCAGCCCCATAGGCAATCTCAAACACCGTATCAAGCGCAGCCTGCGTGTCTCCGAGCTCAGGGAGTTCGGAATCTACATAAAGCCCTGCTTCGTCGTGTACTGTCGTGAACATTGTCGGGACATGGTTAGGCAGTTTGCCCTCCGTGAGCAGGCGGTAGAACTGATCATCAACAACACCGTAGTTGCAATCATCGAGCATGGGCATGAAGGGCTCTTGCGAGGAGAGCAATTTGGTATTATGATAGTAGTGGCTGGCAAGATCAGACGCGATGGTGGACTCGGCATCCCCAAAAGTGGTGGAGTTGTCCAGATACATATCAGCTGGTACTGCTCGAAGGCACTTCAGAAGCTCTGCCTCGGAACTGTCGCTGTCACAACCGACTGCTTCGCCTACAGTCGGGGCAATGTACTGCGAGTAGAAGGCACGGGGGAACCACGGAAGATCGAGCGGCGCCGACTGGACAAGCGCTCCTGAGAAGAGACCCTTAGCTGCGCTAGAAGACAACAGAGCGACCACGCTCTGTCCGCCAGCAGACTGTCCGAAGATAGTCACACGGGATGGATCTCCGCCAAAGGCAGCGATGTGCTCTTGCACCCACTTCAACGCCATGATCTGGTCCCGAATGCCGTAGCTACCAGTGGTGAGCTTGCCAGTTGCCAAGAAGCCCAGTGCGCCGACACGATAGTTGAGAGTTACAATCACAACGTCGCTGCGGCTGGCAAAGTTACCACCGTCATAGTCGACCATGGACGAGGTGCCCTCAAGGAAAGATCCGCCATAGAAATAGACAGCCACAGGGCGACCGTCAGTGCGCTCACCTCTCTGGGTTGGCAGAACGGGTGTGTACACGTTCAAAAATAGGCAATCTTCAGAGATGGGGCCGTTATCAAGAGTCCCATAGCTGGAGTTTGACTGAATGCACGAGGCTCCCAGCTTGGTTGCGTCGATATTCTTGGGGCCAGAGTAGGCTTGCGGTGGAGCAAACCGCAGCTCACCCAGTGGAGGGTTTGCGAATGGGATTCCCAAGAACCGGAATGATCGTGCATCGCGGTATCCGGTCACTGTGTAGTCATGAGATGCGACAGTAATTTTTGTCGATTCCATAACCGTACGGGCTATGTCCTTTGTTGGAGGTGGACTAGACGTGCAGAGAGCCGGGAGCTTCGTGTTGCAGGAGACACGAACAAGGCCCTTGTGGGAGCATGAAAGCGCATAGCACTCTTTGCCGGAGCCGGGATGGGACACCCAAAGCTGTTGACCTTCAGGGAATTCGTGAGCAAAGGCAAGATAATCCAGCTCATAACCCAGGTGGTGTTGGTTGAGCGAAGGCTTAGAGAACCAGGGATGCAGCTTCTCGCCGATGGTTGCGCAGCGGGCCGTAGCTTCTGCATAGCTCAATCGATCGTGCACTAGAACTGCCGAGCTGCCATTGTTTTGCGGGCCCAGGTTATTGTAATGCAACACCTGAAGAGTTCCCACAGAGTCAAGACTCGGGCAACGATGCGGCTTAGAAGAAGGCGCAGCCAGAGCCAGGCTGCCCAAAAGTAACGCGCCCGCCAGAACGATCATTTTGGCTCAGTCAGACTCGCTGTCTTAGGCACAGCACGAAACATGGCGAACGCCTGGGGAACAGCACCCTTTTAAGGACTATCTCCGTCGCTTAGCATGAACCGAACATCATATCGGAAGCCCCGGGGGTTAGTGGACTCTGATCTGGAGGGTAGAGAAGATAGCGTCCGAGTTACCGACGATCACGGAAATGCGGAGAGTCCAGGCATGTGGTACCGACGTGGCTTATGGCGCACCTCAGAGTCTGCGTTGTCCGTCATTAGATGACCGTAAATATGGAAAGCATATCCGAAAGCTTTTAATTATTATAGTGCAATGAAGAGGAAGTAAAAACCAACTGAGGATGCTTATGTTTGGTGGATCTGCTCTCAGGGTGTGCCAGACTGGGTTAGCGCATCCTTTCAGGATTCTTGATCTCGCTTGGAATAAGCAGAATAACAAAGGAGTGCCGGGGGGCAACATTCAGCCTCGGGAGATACCCGGAAGTTAATGTGGTTGAGATTATAATGTAAATAATTGCCGACACAACATATCCATCTCATGTTTTGTAGGAAGTGCTTTTTTGGCGATTGGACGTACGATAGCGAATCTTGGAACAAACCTGTTTGCGATAGCTCGAATAATCATAACATGAATCCTAGGGCTAATATGAGTTCGCTGAATAAGTAGCAGCCCTATCTAGTAGCTGTCCCGTTCAAATGGATTCTGCCCATCACCTAGTTCACCGGAGTGAACCTATGGAATTAGCAACTCTAAACCCCAGGTTGATCGCTAATCAAATCGGTTAATCCTTGTCGTACTTTTGAGCTAACCGACTGCTGACACAATTCAACATGCAATTCACAGGGGTCAGGGACATTAATATTGCGGGGTAAATAGGGCCAGTATGATCAACGAGTGGATTCACTTGTTGCCAACAACAATGCAGATACTCGAGCACCCCCGGCCATCTAGCAATGAAAATGCTAGCATTTTACGGATGAAGAACTGTTCTCTACACTGGTTGTTGGTGAAGAGGCGCAAAATGGGTGGTGACTTGAGATGACGGCTCGATAGCCCGTAGAATTATATATATATATATATATATATATATTTTGGAATGAAACCGTTAAAGTTACTTTCAATGAAACCAGAGCTTTAGAAAAAGTTTGGAAAGACATAGGCAATCCATTTGAAAATCCTAGGAATACCTGAAAGTGGCGAATTGTCTGATGCGGGGCTCAATACCGCGTGATCATTCAATTGCGAGCATTCCCATTGACATTGCGATATGATCCGGCCGTATCGGTGGACTATTATGGCTCACGGTGTGCGTAAAGGCGATATTCACTGCCTTTTGCACTGTGGTTGATTGCGATTGTCTATGGTTCGTGGTTGCCGGAGAATCTCTATTTGAGATACCTCCGACCTGAACCAGCGACAATTGACCCAACTCAACAAAACCCAAGGACCGATCTAGGAGCGCAATAGCCTTTTTCATCCCCTTAAGACAAAACTCTGCCAGCATATTGGCTACACGAGCAGGGATTGGGCCAGTGATATCTGGTCTGTCTTCAAGGCCTTTGTCACCGATAAGCACAGAGGAAAGAACTTCTAGTTGATCATGCAAGCCAGTGAGTCGCTGTCGACTGTGCGTAATTTCAAGTGCCAACTCTTGCTTTTGAGAGAAATCCGGACTTGTATCTCCGGTGGATATTGCACGGGCTTGTGCAACTAAGCCAGGGCAAACCGTGATTGTGTCGAACGCATACTCGACCAAATTACCCAGCTCACTGCCCTTTCTGGCAATCCTCTCCTGCTCGATCGCATACTGAATAACAGATCTCCATTCGGGGTCCGCTAAGAAGCACGGTTTGCTGCAAATAAAAGCGTCCGCAATGAGGAACGATCGAAAAGCGATGAGTAACGTGCGCCCGAATCCGTCGCGATGAGCGCCGGCCCCCCGAAGACGAAACAAAGTGGCAATGCCACCGGAATGGGTGAGCCAGGACTTGTGGCCGGCACCATCTAGTATCTCATAGATACCACACAAAACAGCAGCACCTAGGGTGCGATCCGATTTGACTGTCGCCGGGTTCTGAATCAATTGAGCTAGAGATCGCAGCCCATAGCTATACATCGAGCGACTGCAGAGCATCTTGTCTTTGTCTTTGTGTTTCTGGCCTAGGTTTAGGGTTCCTAATGTCCGAGTGCCCCAGACCAGAGCGTCAGTTGGTGCGTCGTCTTGCTGGCGGACAAAGTCCATAAAGGTCACGTCGACACGACTACTCCAGGCATAGTACAGACCGGGGAAGTTGGCGTCGACGAATAAGTAGAACATTTCTTTCTGTTGTACATCGATGGCCATACGGGCTAGATTCGGGGCAACGCTCTCGTCTATACTAGACCAGTGGTGGGGAGCTGGCGCATAATGAATCCATTTGTAGGGTTGGGCAGCGAATGGTCCACGATCGGCATTACCTTGATTTTCACCTTCGGATAGAGAAAAAGGACAAAATTTCAGCCGCTTTTCGTATCCAGGGCATTTCTGGCCTCGCCTTTCGCAGCGCTTGCAAGCAGGCCGTGTCTCATCGCACTGTGGATTTAGTTCATCGCTGACTCGTGTTCCTTTGAGTGGCGCTTACCTTCACTCGTCGCTGAACACAGGTCCGACATCCCCTGCTGCGAGGCACACCAACCATGGCTAGGGCATGGGGAGATGGACAGAAAGGATGAAGACGCTCTTTCCAACCCTGCTGACTCCCTGTGCCCTGGGTGTCTCCCGCCAAGACTCCCCACTCTGCCCGCTAGGCGCCCTGTACTTGGCAAACCCATCCTGGATGGACAGCAGCATCTGCAGCAATCATGCAGAAAAATGAACGGTAAGTAATATGGACCAAGGAAGTTGACTGGCCGTCTACTTCTTCAGCCTGTTTTTCGTAGCCACGGATGAAAAGCAGCGAATAAAAGCCTAATATCTGTAGGAAAGATGAGGCAACCCGCAAAAAAGCAGCTGCTTTTGTTCCTTAAAATATAAGGTTAAAAAACAGAAGGCTCACGACGTCCTGATTAACCATTGTCCTCTGAATAGAAAAGCAGGTTGTGTATTGAAAGCGATTTGGCAAACACACTTCGCTCCGAGGTCCGTGCATGTCGCTAATACTCCAACATCCCTCAAGCCTCCGACTAAGGTTTTTTCAGCCGTACCCTGAAGCCAAAAAAGAATGGCTTAGACTTGCCAAGATCAGTACTATATCACGTGGTCGACCAACTAATTATTACTTGTACTGTTGTAGTTCACGTTATCACGCTACTCTGTTGTCATTCCCTATGTAGACGGACACAAATGCAGCCCCTCTGACATGACAAATCCCTTAGGTGGCGCAGACTGCTCAGATATTTGCAAGCGCCTTAAGCATAGTTGCTTCTGGACAGGCCTTGCGGATTCACTGGGCTGGGTTTGGAGCTTTCAAGGTGCATTTTCACCTGATCTTTGACGAAGCTTAAAAAGGTGGGTCAGAGTACTGCTGCGCAGATACGATGACTTGGACAACCCGGAGCCCTCCTATAATCCATTACTCATCCGTACATCCACCCTGCTGAACACAGCCCGTCTCTCTAAAATGTTACTCGAGCGCTTATCCGACGGTGCAGGCCCCTGCACGCCTGTCTCCCGCTGGCTGAATGCACACGAGAAAGAAAGTTGCAAGGGAATGTGGTGAGAGATGAGGAGCAGCAGTGGTATTGCTCCGTGCGGTTACTTTAGGATAACTATGCTGTTAGCTAGACCAAACATAGAGGCACAGACAAAGATAGAGGGGTAATTAATCGATATTATCATTAGTTCCATGGACTGATCATAACGACATCCGAAGAAGAAATTAAGAAAAACAGCAGAGCAGAAGACCCCTTATGTATGCTCATGCGCTTCAATTAACCCACTAACTAAATGGTATCATCACCCATGCGCTTCCGCTCCAGCAAATCCGGGGGAAGAACATCCTCAACGGTCTCATCGACATCGGCAAGATCCTCTTCGACCGAAACATGGTCCTTGATCTTGAACAGGAAGACGGGGGCGGCGATGAGGATGGAACCAGCTAGCAGGCCCCAGTTGGAGGCCAGCTCGTTCATGTAGGGCGTTTTGTTCTTGTCCATGTTCCACATGACCGCTGCGCCGGCGGACTGCAGACCCTTGTAGAAACCTGCCAGGTTGGCGAGTTTGCGGCCCGAGTTACCAAGGGCACCCATCAACCTGAGGAAGACGTTAGTTTGAGACTGACGATTTGTGATAAGAAGGGGGAAAAAAGCTCACCAGTAGACAACGCCCTGCCAGCAGGCGTCGAACATGCCATAGAAGAAGTACAGGAACATGGGGCCGAGATAGCCTTTGTGGGACCAGTCCCAGGCGTGGAACCCGTCGGGATTTTTCACCGCGTCGTATGGTTCGGTGCTCTCGCGGGTGTAGCCCTTCTGCCAGGCATAGCCACCGCCCCAGATGACCATGGTGAGAGTGAACAAGAAGACGAGAGCGCCCTTGGCACGGACGGAGCGACGAAAGTACTTAATATCGAGCAGAGGGCCTAGGAACACGGCGGCGACGATCTGCGCAAACCAGTAGAGGAAGTCATTCAGAGCCTTGGTGCGCGTGTTGAAGTAGGCGGCATTCAGGCCATTCTGCTGGTAGGTGTAGAACCAATTGGATGACCAGAACATGGGGAATAGAAGAATGACACAGGGCTCGCCGCGAAGGGTGTGCCACAGGCCGAGGAGCTCGCTGCTCCAGCTGGGGTTCTTCATCAAGATGACCTTCGTGCCATCCTTGCGAATGATCTTGTCGGCGTCGCAGATGAACAGAGCCAGGACGGCACCGAAGGCCATGAGCACGATGAAGGCGATGTAGGTGCCATCGGTAACGGTCTTAGCGACCTTGACGTGGATGTTCTCACCGAGCGGGATCTGTGTGGGTATGGGGATTAGCCTTGCGGAGATCGCCGAAAGTCCAAGAAAAACATACCAGACTGCCCACGCAAGCACCGACGTTGAAGATGGACCAGAACCAGGTGAAGTAGCGGCCCTTGCGCGATTCCGGGGGTAAGACATCATGATCGTGCCCTGGGCGGCCCAGAGGAGACCGGCACAAACACCAAGCAAGGCGCCGGCGAAGATGTTGAAAGCCGGAACATGCTTGTGGACTGAGACGAGCAGACTGATTGAGTAGAGGCAGTAGCCGACACCGCCAAAGGCCAGCGCGAAGCGAATACCCACGCGATTGACCACGGATCCGGCAAGAAAACCGACGACGGCGAACGTGCTGTACAGCGCGGTATTCTGTGAAAGGAAGTCAGCTCAGCTCTACTCATCCCTGGGCGCATGTGGCGCATACCATATCGTCGGCCACTGCGGTATTGGTCTTTCCACCACCACCCAGACCCGACAGCGCATTGAACATGCCGGGACACATGAAACAGACGAACGCGATCATGCCCAGCTGGATGTGCGGCGACGCGTACCAGCCCAGGTCGTAGCCAAAGATTTTGATGGACCGGTACATCCAGCCAGCCGGGCGGACGACGCCGTCCGACTCGACAATGGCGGTGTCGGCGGATTTCTCGTTCGACGCCATGGGGGAAACCGAATTGGGGATGTGGGAATGGAAAAGGGGTGTGGGGAGCGCGTGGTTGTGGAGAAGAAAGAAAACGAGACAGTCCGGGGAAGGGGAAAAAAGGAAAGGGGACGAGACGGATCTTTTATCATTTCACACCAACGCCAAATGATTCATTGAAAGCTAGTAGCACCCTAATAATATCACGTCGCCCAAGACTAAAGCTGCACAGTCGATCGGTCATGGATACTACCATTTCCGGCTGCAACGTCGCATTCACCTTATTTTGCGGGGAGGCTAGTCGCGTGTTGTGGGCAATTTAAAATTATTGGCGCCTCGGCTAGACGGTCAATTCGATAGCAGAGTTACACTACGCCTGAGACCCGGATGGAACACGCTCCTGCGACGCTCGGGTTAGGGGTGGGTTCATTGGGAACGCCACTGAGGCCTCGATAAGGACTGGAGCTTGGACCCACTACGATAGGTGATCCGGGACGCGCCTATCGAGTTGCCAGAAATACCTTTAGGTACGGGTTGGATATGGGTGGGGATATGGATTGGGAATCACGAACTGACAGCCCAGTGTGTGATGCGAGTACCAGTTCTGGCCCAGAGGTGAACCAAAGGAGGCAAAAGTAACTACGGAAAAGTGTGGTGTTGACTTTTCAGGTCATGTGGTTGGTACATATTCAGACTAGTGACGGGATCCCGAAACAGCCTAGACAGGGCTTAGGGCAAGAGCCATGATCCCTAGAGGTGAAAGAGGCGAAAAAATGCATAGTAACTCGTTGCGCCATGGCTGGCCCTACATACTACTGTACCTAATCTCCCCTGGAACAGTCCATTGAGCGTTCACTCGAAGAGTCGCTCGAGTTACTCTTCCACAGTCGCTAGGCGACTTCGAACCGGTACGTTCTCGCCTAGATCCGGCTGCGGGAAGCCCGACACCTTGACACCCTTCCGAAACACGAGACAATGCGTCGAGCCCCCAAAATGGAACATTCCGATCTGGTCCCCCTTGCGCAAGTGATCGCCCTCCCGCACGGAGATCTCACACGTGGAAACCTCTGCCATGCCGACCCCAATAAAGGCCATTAGCCCAATGGCCGGCTCATCGCACTCAATAAAGATCACCGCCCGCGTCGCCGTTGCCGTGATGTAGGCTTGCGAGGTGACCTCGCCGGCGAGATCGATGTCCTGGGTTTGTGCGCTCGGGTTACCGACCCCTGAAAATAATGGTTCCGAGTAGTACGTGCCAGGCACGACGTATGCCGCGACTACTTTTCCTGATACGGGCGCGTGCCAGCGGTGATAGCTCAGCGCGCTCAGAAACGCTTGGTACACCGTGCCCCCGACAAAGGACTGGGCACGTGGGTCGTGCCCCAGCATGTCGAGCACGGAGTAGGGCTGGCTCTTCATCCAGAAACTGTCGCGTGCCGCAACATGCTGCGCAATCCGATAGGGTTGCGCCTCACAAGCGCTGACGATGACACGGCCGTCCTCCGGGTCCGCGACGGGGCGCATGCCCTCTCGGAACTGGCGGGTGAAGAAATCATCCCACGATGTAAAGCCATGGTGTGGCGCCGACGGGTCGCACTGGAACATGGCCTGGAAATCGAGTGTCGAAGCCATAGTGGGGCCCACCTTGGCGGCGGCGGTGAGGTCGCGACAGCCCGAGGGACCGAACCAGCCATGCGACGAGTCGTTGAGCACCTCTGCTGAAGCCGGCGAGCGCAGAAACTCCCCCCATGCATCGAGGACTTTCTTAATCATGGCATTGATCTCCGGGTCGAGGAACGCGGCGTATCCGCTCGGCGTGCCCATGGGCCAATCAAGGATCGCATTGATAGGCAGCCCGACGAGACCCACGCGGTGGGACTTATCGGTCCAGGATGGAGCGGTGGTGAGAAGGTGGTTGAGCACGCGTAGGAGGTGCGGCGGATCGCGGATCTGCGGGCGCCCGGTCGGATCGTGGCGATAGGGTCTCTTGTGCGGGACTTCGGTGAACATGCCCGCCAGCAGCATGTATACTCGCGTGTTCGTGTCGATCAGGTGCTGGAATTCTTGGAGAACTGGGTGTAGAGCTTTAGGAGAATCGTCGACCGTCTTGATGATCCCGCCCAGCCACTCGCGGTGTGCTTCATGGTCTGCTGGCAGCCAATTGCCGATTCTGGGAATGTGAGGTTTTGTCAATGGGAATGATGTAGCGGCGGCCGCTTACCGGTGGAGATGGTGCTTGTATTGCGAGTTTGGAGTCATGATAGCGAAAAAGATCGTCGCTCGGCCTTGCAGGAGAAAAGCTTGACTGTCAATCGCGCTTGGCGATGGACTGTCCAGTATTTATAAAAGAACATTCGTTGCATCACCATGACGCTCTGGGGCAGGGACGGGGGAGATGGTTTTGTGGGGACGGTAAGACCTTGGAAGGGACCGTGGCATGATGTCACCAGCACCGAACAAAGAATAAATACAACGTGTGTATGGATGTAGTTAGTTTACATAGTGGTTGTTTAGTAGAGAAATTACACAGCCATGGGGGAAAGTGGGCATTGTATATAGTCCTTACCGCATTCTGTCATTCGCTCACCCATCATCCACTCCCTTCTGCTTCGATGCGAAATCAACCTAGCCTAATATCAACCTGCCTTCTTCATAAGGCGTGGCCAAAAATCGAAGGCCGCTTCTTCTGCCAGAGACCTGTTCTACCGCGACAATCCGTTGGATTTTCAATTTTACGTAGTAAGTACTAAGTGACTATGCATGATTATTCCGCGTACGCTGTGGCCTAAATCGGCACCGAAACGAACAGATCGACATGACCTGCAGCCTAGATCTCTCACGCCAGTCTTGTATCAAAAGTCTCGCTGCGGCCTCTTTCGCAGGCAGCCATAGCTTTGCGTGCACTTCCCCGCTTCCAGGCCCCGAGCAAAAAGTCCATTTAGTAAGTCGAGTCTCTCGGAAAATTCAATCAGACCCCCAACAATCATTTTAGCAAACGAAACAATGCCAACCAACGCACACTACAAAAGCGACCTAAGTCTCGACGCGCTAGCCGACCTGCAGGTACCCAGCGACCTCAAGATCTCGCCCGACGGGACAAAAATCGCCTACGGCTTGCGTGCATTCCGCGGCAAAACCGAGCATTCCAAATCTTCCATCTGGATCGCCGACATCGGCAAAGAAAAAAGCGCCCGCCAATTCACATCCGGCCTGTTCAACGACGAGCAGCCGCAATGGTCCCCCGATGGTGCATCGATTGCATTCCGGTCCGACCGGGCCCAGCCGGGCAGCGGGTCAGCTGTCTATGTGATGTCTCTTGGAGGCGGGGAAGCATACCCTGTTACTCCGGCTGAGAATCAGACACACATTGAGAAGTTTGAGTGGAGTCCCAACGGCCTTTCTATTGCGTACACCAGCGCAGATGAGAAGACGGACGAACAGGTCCGCAGGGAGAAGGAGAAGGATGATGCAAAAGTTTGGGGCGAAGAGTTGAAGTATCGTCGTCTGCGTGTGGTGCATGTCACCACGAAACAGGTCCGGATTCTTGTCGGCGGCGAGAGAGATGTCTCTAATTTCTCGTGGAGTCGGGATGGGCAACGGATTGCTTATGTGCAGCATCGCGATCCGGATATCAATTCGGCGGGCTTTTATGGCGCTGATATATGCAGTGTCTCTCTCTCGACGGAGAAGTCGTCCACCATCACCCACTTTCCGGGACCGATTTATCGTTTTGCGTGGGGGGATGCCGGGATCTATTTTGTCGCGGGGTTTATTTCGACTCACTGTTCCACATCGCGTGTGTTGTACAGAGTCGTCTGTGAGGAGAGTTCTTACATGCAGCAACTTAAAACCTTGGGTGCGGGTAATCATATTGATGAAGACCGCCGGCTAGGAGAAGGATGCTGCGCATTTGGTCTCGTGAAGAATCAATCCTCCCTGGCTATCCTTGTCCAGAATGGTCTCGAGGATGCAATATACATGGTTGATGTCCATTGGAGCAACGAGGTATATCGCGGAGAACATGATATCGCCACATTTGATGTTGCCGAAACAGCGGAAGGTGTTGTTTCTGCCATCACCAAATCCGACGGCTCAACCCCCGAAGAAGTCTTTTCCGTCTCACCGTTTGGGGATCCAATCCAACTATCCAATCACAACTCCGTCCTTGCAGCCCTCAAAGTCTCAACAGCACAAACTATTTCCGCCATCGGTTCGGACAACTACCCACTCGACGGAGTGATGTACCTCCCATCCCGATTCAAAGAAGGCGACGCCCCCCTTCCTACAATCCTCCTCCCCCACGGAGGCCCATACAGCCGTGTAGGCATCGGCTTCTCAATCTGCAACTTCGCCGAGGTTCCACTGCTTGTATCAGCCGGGTACGGAGTGCTATGTCCAAACTATCGCGGGGGTAGTGGACGAGGCCAGAAGCACGCCGCGTATGCCAGCGGAGGCGTCGGCACTGTCGACTACGAAGACTGCATCGCCATTCTCCGCGCGGCAATTAACGAGGGCCTTGTAGACGCGTCCCGGGTGGCAATCGGTGGCCATTCTCAGGGTGGCTTCCTGTCCTATCTCGCAGTCACTCGTACTGGGTTCCAATTCCGAGCTGCCCTCTGCAGCGCTGGTGTGACAGATTGGGATCTTATGACTATGACGAGCGATGCGTACTGGTTCGAAGCTGATATGGCCGGTGGTTCGCCTTGGGATGTTGACTCTAATGCTGAGGAGAACGCCACAGAAACCGAAAAAGAGGGTCGACAGTCGAAAACTTGGATCCGTCAAACAGCTGGTCGACGGGGAAGCGCCCTCTGGCACATGCGCAACGTCAAGACACCAATTCTGATCATACATGGTGAGGCCGATGAGCGCGTGCCTCTCTCGCAGGCTGTTGCTTTCTATCGTGCCTGCATCCATAATAATGTTCCCGTGAAGATGGTTACATATCCGCGGGAAGGCCATATCTACATGGAGAGGAAGCATATTATTGATATGTGGGCGCGGATGAAGCAGTTCTATGATTTGCATTTGGGTTGAGTTTGATAGATGGTTGTACATATTCTGTGCAACGTGGATATGCAGATAGCGGATGAGATGAGGCGAAGAATCGTTTTGTGTTAGAATAGTTGAATTGGACGTGAACATATTCAATCTGGTGGGCTTGAAGTGACAAAGACATTCACTAAAGTGACCAACGACAACAGGAATGTCCTTTCGCTCGTAGATCCTTGCCATCACTTCATTCCATTATCAGGCTCTATCTTTCACAGCGTAGTGGTAGGAGGCTCCGGAATCATATCCTCTTCATCATCGTCTTGCGCGTCGTCCATCTGATCATCATTCTTGCTTTCCTCTTTCATCTCGCTCTCTCCCTCCTCATCATCTTCCTCTTCATCCCCGTCCTCATCAACACTTTCACCATCAGAAACCATAAGGTAATTCTCAGCGTAGGTCTCCGCATTATCCCACTCATACAGAAAGACCTCCTTGACCATATCCAAAAAGTCCTGGACATCTTTCTTCATAACAGCCACATGTTGGATACCTAGCAACTCCGGAACCGCGCGCAAGTCGGGCGCATGACGCAGGTCTCCAAACCACACAGCATCGCAACAGGAAATACCCACCCAGTCAGGATACTCACAAGCAAGCACGCAGCTGACAACATGGATCGTGGTCAGCGCATCGCCACACGCAGCGTTCCAGTCAATCTGATTAGTCAAGCTGGCTGCGGCGTAGCATCGGACGCAAATGATCGGGTGGTAGGACGGCCGCTCCTCGCCCGGTCGGTGGGCCACACGCAGGGCGTATACCTCTATGAAAGAAGCGTAGTGGTATTGCCGGACCTGGAAGTATTCTCCAGGTGGGAACCAGTACCCCAGGATGCTGGTCCAGACGCTGGCGACGTCAGTTGCCGTCGAGTTAACATTCAGGAGGTCGACTTGGTCGTTGATGGCCATGCATTTGTGGAACTTGTGACATGGTTTTGTTAGTTTCGGGTGAGTTGTTTATGGGGACTGCACGCGAAGGAAAAAAGGCTTACCGTTCGGTCTGCGAAGCCGTGCAAGAATGGTGCGCTCATCTTGGATTTATGCTAGGGGGTTGCCGTGTAGGAACCGTGTTTGTGTGAGTTGTAGGAAGAAAAAGTGGGATAAAGGATGGACGTTGGTGTGGGATGAGAAGTCGAAGCAAGGTGAAAGAGGGCGTTGGGTGCTTTAGAGTAGGAAGGAACGCGGCCGTGAATGGTGCAGAAAGATGCCTTTGTTTACCTAGTACATTTCCAGTCGACCGCCAGGCACGGTCTATAGTAACATTACTACTTGGGCACATGATTAGCTTTGATATTGGTTCGCATCAGTGAATACGCACAAGGCCAAAGTAACGAATATCGGGTAGGCAGAAACAGCTTCTACATGAAGTGATGTTGACTGTACGCAGGGCGACTTACCTGATGTGGGCCAACTATTCTTCATATATATATCATTGAACCGTGATATTTTTGAAACAGACGCAAAAACGTTCACCTGGCTGGGGAACCACGCTGAGAATCATCAGCGATTAACCGTCGGATATGTTGGAGGGTCACATGCAGCAAAATATATTATTCTTGATGATTTAGTCTCGCCATTGATGTAAACGTACGCTCTCCTCCCTAGCAGTCACCTGGTGCAGTGCATAGTCCGTCATCCCTGGAAATAGATATTTTTCTTCTGGTGCCCAGTGGCGAAGAGGGCGTACACATCCGACACTGTTCCCACTATACATGAACAAGCCGTATGTGTCTAGAGATTCCTTCATCTGTGACGTTAAGTAGCTTGGCAGTTTCCGGCCTTGCATAAGATTTGGCAGGCGATGGTTTCCATCGGGGTCATCCCAAATGATAGCCCAGCCGCTATTGCCGCCAGCTCTGAAACCGGTATGCCTGCACATAATTATATCATAAAACGCATCCATGCGGATACCCTCTGACTCGGGGCAATGCTCGGTATCAGAGAGTGACTCTTGTGGTGTATCAGGCGGCACCTGTGTGAAAAACACTGTGCGTAGGACCGTGCCCCTGGAATATCGCGCATGGAAATAAGGGAGCCTTTGTGCGGGCGGCTGTTGAATGAACATCCGGCGCCAACTTGCGTGTTTATACATAAACGAATCATGACAATCATCTTTGGAGATTGGAAGGCTTTCGAAGCTGGATTCGTCAAACTCGCATCTACCACGATGATTCCACGTATAATGTTGCTCGTCTGATGATGGCACGAAAGTAGTCTCCGCTGATGAGATTGGGTCAGGGAACCAAAGAGGAAAGCGTTCAGTCAGTATGGAATTGCGAGTTTTGGTTTTGTACTCCGGTGCAGGCCGGAAGAATAGATGCTTCTGAAGACGAGGGGAATGAGTTATTAAATCGTGCCATGCTCGGGAAACGCGCAGGGTCGAGGTAATTATGGTTTTGATGTCGAGATGGAGGAGGATATTCTCGAGTATTTCAGTCAATGAGATAGCATGCTCAGTTGATGCCATTCTGAGAGTGTTGTTTGATAAAGAAAAAGAAAGGAGGCGAGATATAAACTAAGTGGAGGTTACCTCACATCACGTGTCAGTCAGGCTGTTGGTATTAATAGAATATGCAAACAACTTTTCATAAACTATCCTGTGAATACATTCACGGGTGCTTTATGTAGAAAATGCCCAGTACCTGCCATTCATAATCCTCATCCTTGCGGTGGGTATGTTTATACGCAATGCCTGATCCGGTTTGTACCCCACTTCAACTCGGCGCTAAACCTATATTGCTGTGGGTGGAACGTTTGGAGCGTCCTTCCTATCTACTGCTTTGATCCAAATCTCTCATAGTGTTGACGCGAATTCGCAGGTTTGATCCATATCGTCACAGAAAATTCGGACAAACGTAGAAAAATATCGCACCAATATAAATGTTCATTGTCGCACAGGATGGGAATCCCTTCCCAATGAGAACGAGCTTCGGGTTGGTATAGTCCGAGACATCTGGTACTAACGTCATTCTTCAACGAATTATGAACGGTTGATCGACAGGCTTTGAGGTTGATGCAGGCATTTCGTAGCCACTTTTGGCCCATAAGCCATACCGGACACATACTATGTCTTTGCCTAGATGCTTTTCTTGCTAGGGGGTATGATGTTCCTCTTTGGTTGGTAAGAATTACGTCCCTCTTACGCGATTTAGACCAAGAGATGGCCGTTTCATATCTAAGAACGTGCCCGCAAAGAGATCCTAGACCGAAATCCCGAGCCCTAACCGATGTCTAATTTTGTCAGACGGGGCATGGTTCGATGCCGATCATTTAACGTGAAACCCGTCTCCATCGGGTCCTTTTTAACCCGCCAATCTCATCATTCGGCCCCCTTGAAAATGCGGGGACTAGTACGCGTGGATTGCACAGCGAGAAATGTATTATTCCAGTCAAATTCGGCTCCACTATAGCTTCCATAGTCAATTAATTCTCTGCTTCGGTGGGCATTCGAGTAGACCCCGTTTGTATTCAAAACACTTCTCGGGTTTGCGGTACGATTCGTTCCGAGATGGTGGGCCCAATTCCTGCTCTTGCTATAAAAAAATTCGGTGGCCGAGCGCAAGAATTCTTCGACCTCGCCGGCGTGTATAAATGTTGCTGTGTTTCCGCCCAAGTGGTCCTCTTTGACCATTCGGTCTATCACTGCCCTTTCAGTATTCGCCTCCATTGAATCCGTTCCATCTTTCATTATGGTTTACTTTGCAAGCATTTTCGCAATCGGTCTGGCACCATTGCTTGCGACAGCTAAACTGTCTGGAAAGGTCGGCCCGACCACAACATCCTCCATCAAAGCCAACAAACAAACCTGCAACGTCCTAGACTACGGCGGCGTGGCAGACAATTCCACTGATCTCGGTCCAGCCATCAGCTCGGCCTGGGACGACTGCAGTAACGGAGGCCTGGTTTATATCCCATCGGGGAGCTACGCCTTGGGTAGCTGGGTATCTCTGAAAGGAGGTAACAGCACAGGCATCCAGTTGGATGGAACCATTTACGGCAGTGGTACCGACAGCGGCAATATGATCTACGTTGCTGCCACCAATGACTTTGAGCTATTTAGCTCTAATTCCAAAGGTGCCGTTCAAGGATTCGGATATGAGTATCATCGAAATGGCTCATTGACCGGCCCTCGTATTCTTCGATTAACTGAAGTTTCAAACTTCTCGGTTCACGATATTGCTCTAGTGGATGCTCCGGCGTTCCACTTCGTCATGGACACTTGCTCGAATGGCGAGGTGTACAACATGGCCATTCGGGGTGGTAACTCTGGTGGATTGGATGGTATTGATGCCTGGGCGACCAACATGTGGATCCATGATGTACGTGCTCTCCTTTGTCTGGTAGTTTGTTTACTGACTCCACCTTAGATCGAGGTTACAAATAAGGACGAATGCGTCACTGTCAAGGCATGCCTTTCCCCACTGCTCTATGTGCATAATCTGACCCAGCTTTAGAGTCCGTCGCAGAATATTTTGGTGGAAGGCATTTATTGTAACTGGAGCGGCGGATGTGCCATGGGCTCACTGGCTACTAACACTAACATCTCTGATATCACATACCGCAATGTCTATACGTGGTCCTCCAACCAGATGTACATGATCAAGAGCAATGGCGGCAACGGCACAGTCTCCAATGTGCTCCTAGAAAATTTCATTGGTACGGCTGCCATTTCCATGAATGTGCACAGAGATTCACAAGCAAACAGGCCATAACAACGCCTACTCGCTCGACATCGACGAAAAGTGGAGCAGCATGTCCGAAGCCCCGGGAGATGGCGTCCAACTTAACAATGTCACGATCAGTAACTGGAAAGGCACTGAATCCGATGGAGCCCAGCGAGGTCCTATCAAGGTATCTTGCGCAGAAGCGGCGCCCTGCACCGACATGACCATTGAGGACTTTGCAATGTGGACCGAGGAAGGCTCTACACAGGAGTACTCCTGTGAGAACGGTTACGGTTCTGGGTTCTGCTTGAACACTGGCGATGACTACACCTCGTATGCCACCAAGATGTACGCCACTGCGGCCCCCTCCGGTTACTCTGCGCCGACAATGGCGTCGGATCTAGCCACTCCTTTTGGCACTGTGATGCCTATCCCCATCCCTGCTATTCCTACTTCATTTTATCCCGGTGCGACGCCCTATAGTAAGCTGGCGGGTGCGAAGTCAGCCTCGAGGTAGGGCTCGACTTATGCTGCCCGGTGTTGATAGTTGTGTATCTAGAGCCTCGTAGTGGACATCTAGTTCCAAGCGAGCAGATAATGGCAGTTTCCTTTCGGTTGGTGGTGATATCCTTCGGGCTTGATCCGAAGGATCGTTATATATAATATAAGCATTTTGGCCGGCGAAATATGTCTATGCCGCCTTTTATCCACCTAAAAGAGTATCTGTTGTCATCCCGAGTCGAAGTGGCGTGTTTGTCGATCTATATGTTTGATGTTTGACCCGGGCGCGCCTTCTCGTGTCGCCCCAAACCTAAACTCTGACGATCAACCTATCCACGATCACGCCATTGAAAGAATACGAATCAAGGCGACAAAGTTGAATCCGTTTAATGTAATTCGACGCCCGATGGGGCCAGACACAGTGTTGCAATGGACAAGGCATACTGAAAGATTGTCGCATTCATAAGCCCTTGCTCGCGCGACACGGTCAGCAACCTGCATATCTCTCCATCCCCCACCCACATCCGCTGCCCATGTCGAGCCCTCCCAAATCCCCCGGGCTAGAGCCCGTGGCCGTCGATTCTGATTCTTCATCCCCGCCATCCCGACCCGACGATGGTCCCGACGCGAGTTACAAGGGCAAGGCGGAAGTGCTTAACCACGCCATCCAGAGTATCGGCATGGGTCGCTATCAGTGGCAGCTGTTTGTGGTGATCGGGTTCGGCTGGGCGAGCGACAATCTCTGGCCCATTGTAACATCCTTGATTCTGCCAGCCGTCGAAAACGAGTTCCATCCCTCGCAGGGCCCGTTGCTAACCCTGGCTCAAAACATCGGGCTGCTCGTGGGGGCTGTATTTTGGGGGTTTGGATGTGACATCTTCGGTCGCAGGTGGGCATTCAACCTGACCATCGGTATCACCGCCGTGTTTGGGTTGGTCGCAGCAGGATCGCCCAATTTCGCAGCTGCTTGTGTGTTTGCAGCATTATGGTCTGTCGGTGTTGGGGGAAATTTGCCTGTTGATTCGGCCATTTTCCTGGAGTTTTTACCGGGATCACATCAGTATCTGTTGACCATCTTGTCGATTGACTGGGCATTCGCGCAAGTGTTGGCCAACCTGGTCGCATGGCCCCTGCTGGGGTATCGGACGTGTGAATCTGGCAAGGATTGTTCCAAATCTAAGAATATGGGATGGCGGTACTTCATGATCGCGATGGGCGGGCTTGCCATGATCATGTTCGTTATCCGCTTTGTTTTTTTCACCATCTACGAATCGCCCAAGTACTTGATGGGCAAGGGCAAAAACACCGAAGCCGTGCATGTTGTTCATGAAGTGGCTCGCCGGAACGGCAAAACATCCTCTCTCTCTCAGAATGAACTTGATGACCTGGACGATGGTGAGGCGACTGGCATGGATGCAACGACTATTGTTCGCCAACGCCTCGACAAGCTGAGCCTGAAGCATGTCCGCGCTCTTTTCAACACACCCAAGCGAGCATATGGGACAACACTTATCATTCTAGTCTGGGCATTTATTGGACTCGGATATCCACTCTACAACGCCTTCTTGCCCTACATCCAAGAGTCCCGCGGTCATACTTTCGGAGATGGATCCACATATATCACCTACCGGAATTCACTGATTATCGCCGCGATGGGGATACCAGGATGTCTCATCGGAGGAGTATTGGTCGAGCTGCCTCGATTCGGACGCAAGGGCGCCTTGTGCTCATCGACGCTGCTTACAGGCGTGTTTCTGCTGGGCTCGACCACGGCAGCAACATCCAACGCCCTTCTGGGCTGGAACTGCGCATTCAACTTCATGAGCAGCCTGATGTATGCCGTTCTGTACGCCTACACTCCCGAGCAATTCCTCACCAAGGACCGTGGCACCGGAAATGCCCTGACCGCCTCTGCCAATCGCATCTTCGGCATTATGGCTCCCATCGTCGCCATGTTTGCTAATCTCAATACTCCGGCTCCGGTGTATGTCAGTGGCGCACTTTTTATTGCCGCTGGTTTGTTGGTGCTTTTGATGCCGTATGAGTCTAGAGGGAAGGCAAGTCTGTGATGGTATTTGGTGGCAAAATTTTTGTTGCATAAACATAATATAGCGGTGGTTTGGGTCTACCGCCTCCGTTCTTCCAAGCAAGCATCTCTGAGTGTTCTCACTTATTATTGAGGAGATCCAAAATGCTTCATTGTTGTCAAAGAGGGAGGTTTAAACCTCTCTCTAGATATAATAGATGATGAAACTTCGCATAAAATAATCCTTTCGATTATGATGACCATCGCTTGCCCCACAGCCGTTTAATCTAAAACGCTCTAACATCCCAGCTCAGATCCACTTGTGGCTCACCGACCGAGTTACTATGACATCATGTGTCCAAACATCTCATAGCACAAACCTGGGGGAAAACAAACAATGATGCATATTCGTCAGCTGGCTCAAATAATCAATATAACTAGGTTATGTACCAGCCACTACTGCCCCACGCAGAGAACAGCGATAGGCTCCATGTGCCCTGACCTGGGAGCTCAACCGGAGAAATTCGACCAATAACAACCGCACGTCACTGGTTATGAGATCAACGCCTGTCGTGTATTAAGGTTCCATACGTCAGATCCATTGCAACGGCCACGGATCGAGTGGCTGTCATGCAGTGATCGGCGATTTCGGTGGCCATTCCCATTCGTCTGGGCTGTCATGACTGTGTGGCTTGTGGTCTGTGGCTAGATCTCCGAAGGACATTATATCATATTGTGTCGACAACAGGTTTTGATGGTCGCAACGGACGGGTATATAAAGACTTCACTGAGGCGGACCTTGTATATCATACATCAGGCCTAGTCTATCACAGACAATCTTCTCACTACCACTCGTCTACATTTGCACTTAAGTGACAAGATACCCAATATGTCTCAACAGAATAGTAAGTGACGCGTTGTCCACGCCATCAAACTCCCCTGAACTAACGCATCCTTCTTAACCATAGACCCCGGCCTCCTCGGCGGTTTGACCGACACTCTCGGCAAAACTGTGGGCGGCGTCACCAACACAGCTGGCAACGCCGTGGGTGGTCTCGGACAGACTGTCGGCGGAGCTACTGAAGGAGTGGGCCAGACTGTGTCCGGTACGACGGATGGTCTGGGTAATACTACGAAGAACGCTGGACAGGGTGCACAGGGAGGAGTGCAAAGTGTTGGCGGACAGAAGCAGACTGGTGACAACCCTTTGGGTTTGAACAAGAGCTAGAGAGAGCATTTTTGTGAGAGGTGGAAGGCCTATACGCGATCTATGGCATGATTGCTGTGTTTTGATAATGTATTATTGAGATATGAATGCGTTTTATTATGTCTTTTGATATCACAACTTATATTCATGTTCCCGTGAAGGGCATGAGCTTAGCCGGCGTCATATCTTGTAACCTTGATGTTCTGCACCGTTCACTAGTGACAAGACGAACTACACAACATGACCTGGCTGGTTTTCAATGAAACCACCGCGTATTCTTGCGGAAGTTGAAGTTAAGCCAAGACCCACCAACCTAAATCTCAATATCTTTACCATCCAACCAATCCTTAGCCAGCCTGTACAGCAGATCATGCTTTTCCCCTTGCGGTGTCCCAACATGTCTCCTATGTCCTGGCATATCCTTCAACACAGAAACGCCCATAGTAAGCTCCTGGCAGTAGGCAAGACACTTATAGCCCTCGGGATAGGAGTTAAGTTTCTCCTCATCCAGCTTTGGGAGATTATTCGGATTGACAGGAATCAACTTATCCTTCTCGTACCAGTGCCTGACAAGGCGCGCACCCCAGCGCCCGTCAATCTTCTCAAAGAAGAAACAGAAACGGCAATCTGCCTCCGCATCCACCTCCGCGCCGTCAATGGTGAATCGCTGAGTGATAGTAGCTTTCATTTTGGTAACAGCGCGCTTAACGTCAGGCGTGACATCAGTCGTGACACCGTGGCAGCGGTGCATGATAAAAGCGCCCTTGTCCATTCCAGCCTTGGAGGCTGCAATGAAGTCTGTGTAGGAGACTCGACCGGACCAGGTCGTGTACACGTAGGCTCCGGGGTGGAAGATTGATTCAAAGTTCTCCCATTCACAGGCATCGCTAAGTATCATTAGTATGTTTTGAAAGGAGATTGTAGTAATTTGAGTACTTGCCGGTAGCAAGGCCAGCCTTCGGCCAATTCCCGAAGTTTTGCACGCTCGAGAACCAAATTGTCTGGCCCGTTGTTGCGGATAGCGTTGTCGGGCCTCGTGCCCTGGGGCAGTGAATGAAGATCTGGCATTATCTTTGGAATTTGAGGAATAAATGAGGTTGATACTTGTAATGCGATCGAGTTGGCTGTTCATAGGGATATTATAAAAGTTCCCCTCACGAAAGGTTGCCGGCAGTCACGGGTAAAGACAATGCCGAGAGTATCCGGCCCTGACGAGCCCCTCAGTTATGGACTATTCGACATTTGTCAGATAAATTGGGCAAACAGTGTGAACTTCTTGGACTTCGGTTGTTAAGTTACGATAAAAGGGCAATCGAGCACAAAAAGCACCATTCAGCCTTAAATAGTTCGAAATGATATTTTATGTGCAAACCTAAATCGAATCTGACAAGCTAGCGAGTCTAGTCTCAGTAAGTATTCTAATAATTGTCATTCGACAAGTGGAATAGTGAGAACCCCAAATCAGCATCCATGCACGATCAGGCACTGTCCTGCTTACCCTCACCTCATTTTAGATAAGAGAAATCCCGAGTTTTGCAGATGCTGAAAGACACCATTTTGATCCCATTCCCGGGCAACACCCTTTAAGTGCCGAAGGCTTTCCTCGCTGTATGCTTGGAACGGCCATTGCAAAAACGAAGCATCATTCATAAAACAAGTACCTACAAGAAGCCCTCGGGATTTTGCAATACTACTGACCCTCTCGATGAATGAACAAACGCTTGAGCGAGCGAGCTCATCCTGCTCATCCTCATTCCACTCTCCCACGATGGCAAGCCCTATAAAGTAAAATAAATAATCAATCGCCGATGGTAAATAACAGTGACAGGTAATTTCGAAGGCACTTACATGTCTGGCTTTCGGGTGAAATGCCAAGTATATTCCCGCCATGAGCATCACCTTTCTTAAGAGCATTCGCCCCGATTGGTTGAAATGAGAAGAAGAACAAAATACCATTTTCCACCAGTTTATTCTCACTTACTATCTGCTCCAGGATTCTGTGACACTCTGAATAGAGATCGGCATCTACTTTGATAGCCAAAGTGCCAATCTCGCGCCTATGCATAATGTCAGTAAACCCCAATATCTGCGCATGAGCGTAGTTTGAAAACCGCGTAGTTCATGGATGTAGACATAGAAAGTGCTCGAGCTGAGGCAAGGTATGTTGTTTTTGTTCCTGGGATGGGAATCGCTTTTGGCTCGATGGTATCGAATTCCTGAAACGCATCTGGTGGGGCAGAACTCTCCTTGTAAAGCAATCCCAGAATGAAAAATCCCGGATTGATAGATAAAAAGGACCCTATTTTATCATCTTCATCCATGGCCTTCTGAAGGTTAAACATGGCTTTCATGACACGATCCCCGTCCGTCACGTTGTACATTCGCATCGTCCACCAAATATCACATCCTTGGTGCACGTATATATCGAAGCGACTGACAATACCTAACCAACAATCATCACAGTCAGCCAATTTCGTCCAACGCGTCTACATAGGACCCCTATATAGGAAAGACGCGTATTGGTGAATTACCGAAATTCGATCCAGTCCCTTTCAGGGCGTGGTAGAGATCAGTATTCTCGGTACAATTAGCTTGTACAATACGAGAATCAGCTGTCACGACCTAGATCAATTGGAGGTCAGTATATCCAGGATAGACATAGCAAGAGAAATCGCACCTCGAAGTTTCTGACGTGGTCGCAAGCAAAGCCCCAGTGGTTGGAAAAATGAGACATTCCCCCTAAGGTGGAAAATTTTAGTTGCGGATTGTCTCCAGTTCGCTAGATTATCCACCTTACCTCCAGTGATCAAGCCACCAACACCGACTTCTGCAACTCGCCCACCAGCTACTGTCAGGTCATACTCTTCCAGCTTTTTGTACACAATATCCCATGTTGCACCCGGGCCCGCGGATATGACCTTCCTGTCCTCAGAAAGCTCCACGTGCCGAAGGGAGCTGAGATCAAGTACAACTCCGTGGCCATCGACACTACTGAATCCAGGATTTGCATTGTGTCCACCACTGCGAATCGCAAACGGGCATTGCAGGTGAGTAATAAGTTTCATCACGATTGCTATCTCCACCATGTTTTCAAGAACGAAGAAACAGGCAGCTGCAAGCCAGCATGTTCGGGACCTGAATTAAAATACTTCGTTCAGCTCGGCTCTGTGTATCACGGGCAGGGGACAATTACCAGTTCATCTTCTGTTGCTCATGATATCTGGGAGATGATGTGCCAATACATCGGTCTTGGATGATTATTTTGCATGCTTCATATACCTTCTCCGCTGGTGCCATATAATTATTGGCATTCTCAGATAGCCCATCGAGAGCTCCCGCATGATTGCGAATCAGCTCGGTGTATTGCAGCCGAAGACCCTGCGGTATTTCGTCTGGTAAGGCAGTGATCACAGATAACAGGGCACTCGAAATCGGCTCCATTTTGCCCGTGCTAGGAGCAATAGGAATGCCGCTGTTGGGCCCGAGAACACGTCGGCCAACCTTTGAAAGGCTGCTAAGTTACTGAGTGCATGCTTCTTAGATAAAGGGAAGATCCACTTCTTTCAGCTGGACGAGGAGTGAGGGAATATGCAGTTTCGTGTAACTATGGGTAACATCGGATTATTTACATCGTAACTTGGTGAGATTAGGCCTCCCACGTCAGCCCGGACGAGCACGGACGATAAGCTGCACCAACACCGATCGCGAAGTCAAAGCACCCCGCATACACGGAGGGCTGCGGCAATGGCAACGAGTACTAAATCAAATTCTTTTGCAGGTCGAGTTGAATCAGTTAGCACTGTCATCGTGCCCTTATAGTACAGCTTGTACTATATTTGAGATTGAGTTCTAAGGTTGGAATATATATTGTAGACAGCAAGCCTAATAAGCCAAGATCTCGATTATTTATAGTATTGCGATTCGTCTTCCCTATTATGTAGTTGAAGTCGAGAGGCGAAATATCGTTAGACGATATTGGAGCCTAACTAGCACTGCCCCTTCGATTCGATATTTCTTATCTTAATCATGCTTAACCTCACAACCTAGGCATATCCAGTTGCAGCGCCTCAGTCTTCTTGCGCTGCAAACAAGGCAGCCTGGTACTGCTCCAGAGAAAGACCCAGGACAGCCAGACATTTGTCTTTTGTCTCCCCTCTCTTAGGGGATCTCCCACGCTTTTCCTCTAACCCCAACACAGCAAGCCTCCTTGAAACCTCAGGCATCCCAGCGCTGCGTCGAACCTCAGCGACGGCACTTAATATCGCTGACACGGTCCGATCTCATGTCATTCATAAAGAAAAGCACCCCTGACTCCGTAACTTAGTTAACCGCTTACGTTGACTAATGACTAGATTAGGCCCCGCTCATAGATCTCTCAGAGCCCGCTTAGGGCCAGCTCAGAGTTCTCAGTGAGAGGATCACCTCGTGAGCTTAGAGCGGATCGCCCCGCGACGGGGCAGGTTTACCGTCACCATTATTACACATCAAGCCAGATAAGACCCGCGCGGCAAAGTAGAAGCTGCTAACAAAGTTAAAATCAGGTAGATGACCCATTGAACAATAGTATGTCCGAAAGCATAACATTAACTAACAGAGACGGCTTCATAAAGCACAGTCTTTCATGATGTATCTTTGTTGTCGATGGGTTCTTCTGTTATATTTTACAGAGACCTATACTTTGACAACCCATTAGTTCGTTATCACAGGAGTGTTTCGATCCCAAGTGCTCTTCTCAACAGCATCCACCAGACAAGCCGCCACACTAGCCCTCGAGATCCCCCCCAGGCCCGCAAAAACACCGAGCCCTTTACCATCGTCGCCAAGGAACTTAACGGGTGCTTTTTTGCCCAGAGTCAGTCTCGCTGCCCTGAACAACACGAAGTTCAATCCGCTCTTTTTGAGGATCTCATCGACTTGATTATGATCCTCAAATGTATGGCGCAGGCTGGTGCTAGAAATTGCGAATCTCATAAGTACATTGATATTCGGGAAAGAAGACCCAACTCCAAATGAAGACAATGTCGCAATTTGTGAAATTCCATGGCTTTTCATAGCAGCGATGAGGTTTTCGTGCGCGTTAGTCATGACACGAGTCCCCTTTACATTCGGGGATGCAAGCGTGACAATCACGGCAGTTGGGAGGTCGCCTTTGACTGCGTTGAAAGCGCTTTCAATGTCCGAAGGTTCCAGTGGTGTGCCCTTCACGATGGTCAGGCCTTCCTTGGCTGGAAGCGTAGTGGGATTCCGCATCAAGGCTGTAATTTTGTGGCCGCGCTGCAATGCTTCATCGATGACGAAACGACCAGTCTGTCCATTGCCACCTATAACAAGGACACGCATATTGAGATGCTGTTGCGCTGCGGTAGGATCCTGACTTTGTTCCTAACTGCGGGTGCGTGGTTTGGCTGAGACCGTGGTACAATGTTTTTGGTGAAGCTCTTAACTTTGTTGAGATCAATAGATGATGAACTGGATGCTCTGAAACGACACATAACCAGCGAGCTCCCATCAGGTATATATAGCCGTGGCATAAACACTATCGAGGATGTCAGGGCTGATTCGTGGTAAGGACCGGCTACAAGTTGTAAAGCCTATTTAGTGCTTGGTCAGCTACCAGAGGCAGCTAACCGACGCGTAGGTTGTCGCCTCATCAATATTTCCGTTTGCGGACATCTCCGTAGTACGGAGTCCGTGTGGTCGCTCGGAGATCGCTAAAAGTAGGTCCGTAGAATTACAAATCCTGTTGCTTACCAAGGGGGCGACTTTGCCGTAAGTTAGCGCGAGGTTGGTTACATACTTTGTCATCTTCCTGGTCTGCATCCTCGATAAAAATTAAAAAATAAATAATAAATAAAAAATAAAACCAGGAAAAAGGAAAAGAAAAAGGACACAGCTACCGTGATGATGAAATTGTCCAAATTTTGGCTATATGGATCGAAGAGGAAGCAATTTGGGTAACTTGGCCATCTTTAATCATTTTCAGGCTTCGTTTCGTACTCTAGTCACGATTCCTTCAGCTCGATCAATCGTAGCCAGGGCACCATGATTATTGTCAGCTCATACTTAATGGGAGACTTTTTAAATACTTGATCACTATAGGTCCTTTTTCGTCCGCGATTTTCTCTCACAATCTGGAAAGCTCAACGTAAGGCGTTTGTATTGCTAGCGTAACTAATATAAAAGTTTTCGGGGGATTTCTTTGATCTCTATTAGAATCTACACATATTTGTACTCGCAAAGACACATTAATATAGCCGAAGTTACCCACGCCTTCGACAATAGAAGTCACTCTTATCGTAGCTCATTCTAAAACTATACCGCGGCAAAAAGCCACTATTGAATAAACTCGAACCGGAAGACTCAATCAGAAAGCGCAGAAGAAAAAGGAGAAACCTTTATAAAGGTCCTTGAGTGCTATACGGATTGTAATGCCGACATAAACCCAGTCGTCTGAAAAATGAAAACCGGCTAGATATACATGTCAACATCTCACTCGCAAGGGTGGGCTTTGTTCGGAGAACAATTATTAATTTGCCTTCTCTTTTCGTTGGTTCCCTGCTTTGAATTGTACTAGTAGCTGATACAAAAGGGAGTCGAATCATTCTCTATGAGGGTAGCCTAATATCGAAAGCGGCATTGGACCACAACAGGCCTTAACGAGGCTCCAAGTTCAATTTCAGGCAGTAGTATGCCCTAAATGTACATACAAGGATATATATAGTTGAGATATCCTACATATCGCTCAGGGATGGGTTCGGGGTAAATGAATTTTCAAAGACATTCCTGTAGTCCACAGAGAATATGCAGTGAGCCATTATTTATTCTTAATGAGGAGAGAAGAGGGCCTTCGTCGGCGCTTTGCTACTCTTTCAACTTATCGGTAGGTTTCGCCACCTTGTCTTGCACACTCACTTCTGTCTCCAGATCCGAATCAACAGAATTCAAAGGACGAACCACCCCCGGAACCACTGTTGGGATCAGTGTCGGTCTGTCTGGCCAAAAATAATTCAAGGAAAAGTAAAATGTGAAGGAAAGACAGAAGCCATAAAGATAGTTGATAGAATAAAGATGTTGCAACCCGGTATCGAGGGTGACTTTGTTTGGTGTCACCGAGTGTGCCAAGCCCGGGAGAAGTGGAACAATCACCACCAGATTGCATAATAGAGCGCGCCAATTCGTGCCAAGCTGTTGTTGAGCACCTGGATTAGCAAATCTGATTTTAATTATAAGTATCGCAAACCGCATACCTTGTAGTAGTATATCCCTTGCGGATCATATAGAGCAGGGACGTCGTATTTGCGTCGCTTAATGAACCAATAATCGCAGCAAAAAATGCCCGCAATCGGTGCCATAAAGATGGAATATGCGCCCATGAAGCTGAGGAAAGTTACGCCGTTCTTAATGATAATCCAGGGACAGAGCGCCCATCCGCCCAGGACCATGCACATGATCATTCCGCGTTTAATGTTGAACCATTTCGGGCACATGGTCGTCATATCTGGATGAGAATTAGTATCTAATGAGATAAAAATCTTGATTAGTACCAACCGTTTGCGAATGAAATGGAGTTAGCAGAGATATTGTTGCAGATTTGTGCCAACAACCACAGCGAGGAACAGAAAAAGGCTGCGGCTCGCCCACCGGAGGAGCCTTGCCACTGGTCAATTATCTGCAACGGGCTCCATAAAATGGTCCCATATACCTGTTGAGATGCGCTGGCTGCAATGATGCCGAAAAGACCAGTGATAACCTTGAAGAGGGGAATCACGGGCAGTTGCCAGACTGGACTGCCTGGCTTCTTGCTAAAGCGCGAGAAGTCGGAAATATTGACCGCAAGTGTTGAAAAGCCACCTAGAGCTTCATTAGAATTGAAGGCTATCAATGAAATTATTGATACAAACATACCGGTGATGGAAGTCATATTCATCAGCCATAGCCATGATCGCTCGGCGCCGTGAACAGTGGGCGGCTCATGGAATATCGCACTTCCTCCTCCAGCCTTGACTGATATCCAAATTACCATAGCTAACGCCATGGGTGGTACAAGAGTGGACTTGAAAATAAACATATATTGCAACTTATGGGTTGGTATGAAGAGGAATGGTGTTTGAACGACATGGTAGATAAAATAGGAAATCATTCCCTGTGTGGTGATAGCTGCCGATGCTGGCAGATGATTAGGGAGGTTGGCGAAGCTGGGCCAAATGGCGGAGATAATCTATCGCATTTGTTAGCTATACCGTGATACTAGTTATGGACAAGAACGAGCTCACCGGAGTTACACACTGGCCTCCATACGAGCTTTGGACGCCGAACCAAAACATCGCTAGCACAGCACGCGATGCCACACAGAAGTACCCGAAGTACGTGCCATAGCTAGCCCGAATAGCGACGGGAAACGGAATGTGAAGGTCGGCTCCTACAGCACCATTGAGAACCGTTGGTATAGCGTTACACAGCGCCGCGACTAGTGTCAACAGCACTGTGTCCGTGGCCGAAAGCCCAGACGCGTACGCCGAACTGGCAGCGGACCAAGTTGAGACAGTAACCAAGTCCGACAGCCAGTACTGCGTGAAGGTCCAGCCCGTCCAAGTCCATTTCTCTGGTGGAACTGGATCTTGATCGGCATTACTCCACACATGTGGTGGGGCAATACTGCTATCTTGTTTGGGCAAAGCCCAGCGCTTGCGATGGAACAGACGCATCGCCATTGTTGAGATTCCCGAGACATCTGGGATAGGATTGTTCTTTTGAGGTTCGCTCGTGCGCACATTCTTGCTGCACGGTCTCGCTCATGACGGGATTAACCTTTGGCATCTCACAGGCGATGGCGTTCTCTATCTTGCTACCCTTGCCATTATCGTTATCGTTACGCAGCCACCTTCACACTAGCGTCGGCCGAGCTGATAATGCAAGATTGCTATATAGGCACGGGTCACCACAATCAAAGCCCGTCTCTCGACCGATATTGCTGGATTTATCTGTTTCAAAGTATCTACTGGAAATCAACAGCCAAAATTATGAATCGATCAACCAGAAGAAAGCGACTGGCGTGTGCAGAGTGCACCCGGCGAAAGATCAAGTGCGATAAGGTCGTGCCGTGTCGGAATTGCCGACATAAGTAAGATCATATTCCATGAAGCTCGGCTATTGCATTCGGATTCTTACGGGCTTGGAACTTTAGAGGCAGCACCTGCTATCGCTCACCACACATCTCTCCTTACTCGCGGGCGACTGCCGGATCTCCACAGATTACCCAGCGCAGTGGAACCCGCCCAACGGAACTGACTGGAACCCTCGCTGCCTGCCTCAACGAGCTGCAAACTACATTGCAGGCAGTGAGGACGCACGAGAAATCAAGCCCCAGCTTTAATGACAGCGAAGTGTCTTTTTCCGCGGTACCGGAAGGCATATCGACTCGAGCACCGTCGGAGGTGGAGAATGCCAGTCCCTGCCGCGAGACGGCCGAAGTGGAGGATGCCGCGACAATCTTGGAATTTTTGGCATGGGGCCGACGGAAAGTCCCCGATTTCGACGGTCTAGTTGGAGATCCAAATTGCACGCCTGCACAGTCACCCGGAGATGTATCACTACAGGGTGGCCCTGCAGACCTTCCTCAGTTGCGTTTCAAGGATGACGCGTCTTCACTTCCACTCCTACAGCTGTTGCTTCCCGAGCCACCCACTTTACTGCGAATGGTTAATTACCACTGCGAATGTCTTCTGTGGTATCACGCTTCATTTCATGGGCGCATATTCCAGGAAGAAGTCGATGGTTTTATCAAAAAACACCATGGCCGTATTGATAAGCAGGATGTCGATCTTCAGTGGGCTGCGCTTCTCTTTGCTGTGCTGGCAGGAAGTTTGATATGTGCGCCCCGTTCAGTGTCTACTTCGTGGGGATTTCAAGATCCTGAACGTACCAATTTGGCTCATCGGATTTTCGAAGCTGCCCTGGTCTGTCTGAACCTGGCGGATTTCACTGCTTGCCATTCCTTATATGGGATCGAGTGTATTGCAACAATGACAATAAGCGCTCACTTGCTGGGTCATTCTAATAGCCACTCTGTCAAGCTTGCATCTGCTGTCCGGATCGCGCAGAGCTTGGGTATGCACCAACTAGGCGAGGAACCCGATGAACATCTAAGTAATCCAGTACGGAGGGAGATCGGTCGACGATTATGGACGGAGCTATGTATCCAGGATTGGTTTTCAATTCCCTTTTCAGAAAGCTATTTGATTCATCGCCGAGATTTTAATACGGGCAAGCCTCGAAATTGCATGGATGATGACGGAATGACCCCTGTCCCAGACAATATACCAACTCCTGTGACCTACCATCGTTTCCTATACGACATTGCAACACTGATGCCCCAGCTTCATGACGACCTATCTGCATCGCACACATTGTATACAAAATATGAGCATGTCATTCAATACGACACCCAAATGCGCACATTGGTCAGCAAACATATTCCTTCATGCCTACGCAATACTACTCTCCAGCCATCTTGGCCGTGCTACGTACCTTGGGCACGGCACTGCCTGACTATTAGCTCCGCTCACAAAATTATCATGATTCATCGCAAATTCCTCTGGTCAAGCTTCACCAACCCGGCTTTTACATTTACCCGCAAGACCTGTATCGCCGCGGCGAAAACCATAATTCGGGAGCAGAAGCAACTGGTTAGGGAGGATGGACCGGTACTCTGGATTTATCATGCGTTTAGCGTGGCAGCGAGCGTAAGTATCCAGCGATCGCTTAATGTCCTACTACATGGATACTTACCTCACTCCAGATCATACTGTGCTTGGATCTTTTCTTCCATCCGCTCCCTGAATGTGATCAACGAGAGAATCGCGAGTTAGCCAAACACATGGTTGAGATCTTGTCTCAAAGCGGTATCAGCATGATTGCCAAGAGAGGTGTTAAAATATTGCGTCTGCTGCTTCGGCTAGATCAAGACCGAGGCAAAGAATCATCAGGCTGGGATATTCGTGACCTTGTACAATCATTCTGCGAACATGAGGCATCCGCGAGCCGTACAGATGACTGGCGACCGGTTGATAACCTCTCATCTGCGACTGGACCGCTTTCGCCAATTTCGACCATGCAACCGCCAGGATTCGCAGCTCGTGGATCTCATACCGAAGAACTTTATAACAATTTCCTTCTACCAAACTCTAGTTTTTTGAGACATGATTCCTTAGAGGACATATTGCTGCTCGCGCAGAATGGAGGGGGATGATGTAGCGATAGATCTAAATATGTCAATTATGATAACAAATGCAGATAATGCCTTCGATAAAATTGCGCCCCCCTAATTCCCTCGACCTGCTAGTTGACTTTACCTTGCACTATAGAAATGAGACTGAGTGGCACGTCCAAACACGTCTCTCGCAAGCCTCACATTATGGATCTAATTATACTTCATTTCTATTGGAGAGATTCCACACCAAAGACATAAAGTGCTGGATAGTGATATTTACTGGGTGCGACAAAATTTAAATGCATCTACTTCTAGGAAGCCTTGCAACTTGTCCTATCCCTCGTTCGCGAACAACCACGGGGGCACGGGTAGCTCGGGTCGTACTGCCACAAGAAATAGGGATCGGTCTCGTTGGTGAGAACGTTCCCCATTAGTCGCGCCTTACTCGGAAGGTCGAAAGAGGCCTCAAAGACATCCAACGAAGAAATACGGATCTGGCCCCAGCCCTTTTGGATTAGTGTATCGATCGATGTTCCATAGACATATTCTCTGAATCCTGCCCAGCGAATTGCAGAGGCACACTTTGTCCTCGTTAGCTAATTATCCAAGTATCCTTAAAGGTCACAGTTATCATACCATAGGGCAGCTCTCAGCATTTGTGTACAGGGTTAGGTCGGCGAACGCATCTTGCGCTTCGGACGCGCTCATGCGGAACTTGCCATGGGGGTCAGTTAGAATCACCGTGCAATTCTTGATGGCCGCAATTTCTCCTGTAGGATGAGGGTTCGCATCAGTAAATGCGACGTTGATTACGAAGCAAGAAGCTAAGATTACCGTGGAGAGAAGGATTGCCGGTATTTCCATTCTCATTAACACCCATGCAAATGAGTTTTCCTGCTTCGGAGGCCGTATGGTTGACGATGACCGTTCCGAAGGCGGCAAACGGGCAGGGAGAACCAGTTATGTCGCCTAATGCTTCGTTTGCCAGACGCATCCAGTGGGATCGAGTCGGAAATGTAATACCGTTGATCATCAGAGTCGGGTCCGCAAGTACCATTGCCAGCGCTGCAGGGAGGATTGCGCTGAGCAGAGCAGAGACACAGGCTGAAAACCGCATGTCTGAAGTTCCGAGAGCAGAGAATGATCCGAGGCAAAAGCTCAGCTCCCCTTTTACAATGGCGAGATGTTAAATCATTTGCATCTCTGCGGGGGAATCGCTATTCTAATCAGGGCGAACGGGATCTAGCGTCGGCCACCGCCGCAACCGGCCCAGAATTAGAGAATCCTTGGAACCAGCCGCTTGTTGATGGATAAGAGCCCTGATAAGGTATAATGTCGCTCCGCGATTCTCGACACACGGCGCCTCCCTATCATGATGATAGGCTAGGCGATAAAGCTGCCATAAGTCTTGATTAGAACCATCGACATCTTGCACTGCAGCGGACGCAACTCCCGTCCGTGCCATGATGCACGATGTCGAGAGCGAGTTTCTGTTTCAAAGTTTCTGATTTCACTCGTAGAGGTAAAACCGTCCACCGCTGGCATGGAAAGATCTGCAGATAATATCTCTGCTTGCTCTCTTTGTAGATGGCCAAGGCAATTTGCCCATTGATAGCTGTTTCATAGATCGAGGCTTCTTGATTAAATACTATCTGGGTATGCTATCCTTGAAATGAAGTTCACATTTCAAGCTATCGGCATTTTGCTAGGCTCTATTATTATTCCCTTGTCTAATCTTAAGCGATATGACAGATATATGGTGTCGCCTAGGCCATCAAGGGTATCGGTACGGGTCCCTTTGGACCAATGCTGCCACTGATGTTTGCTTGGTGCATAGACCGAGGACCCATGATGATCGGATAGTCAACAGCAGAATGGAAGAGTCCGTAATTATCCCAAATTACCATGTCTCCTTCCTCGGCTGGGGCCAGCAGGATGTAATCGGGCTTGAGGATCCGGTTCTGGATATCCAAAATAAGCTTTCGAATCTCCGCCACATCCTCAACGATACGAGGCTGCTCCTGTTGGGAGCTACGCAAATAAAGCTTTCGCGCACATATCCCATGGACCTGGAAGGCTTTTTCGCCCGTAAGGGGGTTCACCCAGACCAATGGATACTATTCCTCAAGTTAGCCAACCGATCGTGCGACTCGGAGCTCTAAAATATCAATACCTTCTTCACCGCCGCCGGATCATATTCACCAAGTTCTTCTTCCGTGAGACGCTCACCCCCTTCTGCTAGACCAAGGCCGTTGGTATTTCCCTTGCACTTCTCAATCCACTTATATGGATATGGCGCATATTCGACCCAGCTATGATCGGCCAACGCCTGCTCTTCGGGCGATAACATGAGATAGAGCTGAGATGTGCTGAAATACGCAGTCTGTCCCGGTGGGGATTGCATAGTTTGACCGGACCCGTCGGCCCATTGAACCGTGAGATTGGGTCCTTTCGGAAGGGTAACGCAGCGCAGGGTTGTGAACCACGCAGGATCCTTCCCATACAGTGGAGCATCGATATGCCAGCGTTGGAAACGCGTGATCCCCTGTTCAAATTCCTCCAGGGATGGTGGGATGGCATGGAAGTCATTGCTGAGTCCACGTTCGATGGTGTGATTCTCAATACCGAAGTGGTTTTCTCCTTGGAAGCCCTTGCCAATTAATCTGACGTTTTCCGCGCCGGGAATTCCAACGACCTCTCTTCCTTGCTAACACCCGTCAGATCTTGTGAAAGTGAATCAAAAGTATTGGATGGGAAGACATACAGCAAGAAGTCCGCCCTTCTCCCGGAATGTGGTAAGATTTCCGTGACTGTGGCCGTCACTGGCCTTGGGATCCAGCCGGGTCACCAGCTCCCACTGTTTCTTAGGATCCAAGGTATGTTGGGCTTTAACGACAATGACCTTGTGGCGCCAAACGGCAGCTTTGAGACGATCGACATCGTCATCTATCCATCCATGTTAGATCCGGCCTCCAACCATCAAGATAGTGGGTTCAACGAAGACCCACCTGAGATGTTGTTCAAGTCCACTCCAGTCACGCGGGCTCCAAACTATCGAATAATGAGCTTTAAAATACTGCACTAGGCCATCAAACATGTCTACTCACGTTGAACTTTTGCTCAGGTGTCCGCTCTAGCGGTGTCACAGCGAAGGAAGTGTTGTCGTCCATTGCGTACGATCGATTGTTGTTTCTAATGCAAAGATGGTGTTGATAGATGATGTGATCGATTTATTCTATGGATTTTTATGGATTTTTATCGATCTGGCCGGTCCTTTCCCCAGAAATTGAGGGGGCCCCTTTATCAATTGCATCGACTTCCATTGGTCTGACCTATTATCTCCCCCGGCCGAGCCCGTTCAAGCCCGGCAGCATTTCAGCAGATATAGGCATCGGACATCACATGCGCGATAAGTTATTCATTCACGACATTCGGATTACCAGCCTTGGAGCTTGTATGTTAGCCAAGACAAATAAACCCGACATCTATTCCCATATCGGCGCACGGACCATGAAGCCGGGTTGCAGACACGGCAAAGCCATCCCCGGCCGACAGCACGGCCGATCCTGACGGCCGCTTATTCATTCCCAGTCGGATGCCGCAAAGGTCCTTGTCGCACAACCGGCAAAGGTTTTCAAGTAATTGGGAGAGTCTCGCAAAATTATCCGGGGTATGAGCTGACAAATGACAAGAAAATATCAGCGAGACAGGCGTCGGCAGTGTAGGGGTCCTCGACTCTGTCGTAGATGAATCTAGTGCCGATGATAAACTACATAGCGTGCCGCTTTAAAGCTGGCATTGTACGATTTAAGGTAGTCAGGAAGAAATGAAAATATCGGATATAGTGTAATTGTGACTATCTACTTGTCGGCCTTCTCAAGAAGAGTCTCGATAGCTTCAATGGATCCCTCCAAATTCTGTAGTGTCATCTGATGTCCAACACCCTCAAGGACGTTCACCCACGCATTGTCTCCAATCAACTCCTGTAGTCCAACGGATCTTTCTGGAGGAGAGATGATGTCACCGCTTCCTGCCAAAAGCAAAGTCGGAGCACTGATGAGGCTATAATCCGGATCCAGATGATCAAGACCCGCAATAGCTTCACATGCTCTGGCATAGGATTCGGCGTCACAGCTGGCTACTGCTTCCCGAACGCTCTGGCGGAGCTCAGGTTCAACCGTTTCTTGCAGCGGGAAGTTGGAGGTAGCTGCCATGTCAGCTGCAGCTTCAATTCCTTCGGTGCGTGTCTTGGCCGCTAGGTCTAGCATTCGCTCTCTTGCGGCGGGAATGTGGGCTATTGAGCGACCTGCTCCAAGCAGCGCGAGGCCTCGAACCTGATTTGGGTGTCTCGAGGCATAGTGCATTGAGACGATAGCCCCGAGGCTGTGGCCGATGAAGAGCAGTTTCCTCCCGGAAGAGCTCCCAGGAGGGCCTTGCAGAGATGCCACGAGATATTCCAGGTCCTCGACATAGCGGGGAAGAGAAAGCATAGTGTCAGGCGAGGACAATGTGGTTTGGCCGAATCCCTCGAAGTCAACGCAGACCAATCGGTTGATGTGTGGCGACAGAGACTGTAGAATTGGCTGGAATGTCTCGGTAGATCCACCTAGTCCGTGAAGAAGTATAATGAGAGGACCAGATGAGTTGCCCGTTTGGGTG